GCAGCATCAGTTTTGGGACCTTCCAGCTGTAAATATTAGGTAGCTCCAGAATTTGATCCATTTGATGTCATAGGGATCAGTTCTACCCAACTGAAGAGTTATCTTGAGAGCCATTCCTGATTACTTACGTCAGGTTCTCTGTCTCTATGCACTTCTCAGCCTGAGCTAGATTCCCACCACCTGTAACTGCCTCCCTGGGCCTCCCCTTGCTCGGAGGAGTCAAAAGCAGGACAGCTTGAGGCTCTCTGACCTATAACTCGTGGATGTTCTCTGTTCTTAGGCCCTTAGTCAGGCTCAGTTTTTAACAACACATTCTCTCTCAAGAAGGCTCCAGCTGCTGCCCTGCTATAGCTTATATGTAAATTACTATATGTAAATTCCTATGTCTGTTGCTGCTCAATGTCTGCCCATAGTTCATACTATTGTAGGAACTTTTGCCAAGAAGATAAAAGCTGAATATGACTTTTGTTCACTTCTAGAACTTAAAAAAGAAATCAATGTGCATGACACCAGAGCAGTCAGCTTCCAACACAGGGCATCAAGTTAATGGATTACCCACCAAACCTTCCTGTCAAACTCACCTCTGAACCCGTGACAATCATAACTATTGATCACAATTTAGTTCTGCCATGAAAGGCCTTTCTGAAACCAGAGCTCTGAAATGACAAGCCACATTTTTCTTCTTCCAGATGACAAAGGGATCGTCAAGGCTGTGCATTTACTAATTACAGTGGTAAAATCTCCATTTTCTTATCATCAAACAAGACTGCTTCTGCAGAAAGGAAAAGGATTCTTCTGCCCCTGCCCCTTTATGGGAGTCAGAGTCTTACTAGATAGAACAGGCTAGCCTGAAACTTGTGATCCTCCTGCCTTTGTCTCTGGAAGACTTAGAACGTTGTCGAGAACTACCATATTTTTTCCTTTTCTCATTTTCAGTAGTTTTTCTAATCTTTGAATTCAGTTTTTCATATAGTTACACCTAAAAAACAATTCTAAGTGTTATGGTGAGTCTGTAAGTCATGGTTTGGCTCTCTAGATGGGTAATTGTAAGAGAAATGAGGAGAGGAGAGAGAGGTGGGGGAAACTAGCGACATTCAGTGTTCACTGCATTTTTGAAAGTCACAATATGAATACTGAAGAAGTTAAACTCTCTCACTCTCACAACTGAATTTAGGTTTCAGTTCTCTGAGCAGGGCAGAACAGGTGTCTCTCCCACAGAGGGTCATTTATCCACAATGCCCTTTCATTCAGGGAATGGGGCCTGAACCAACCTCACAGTGCCTCAAGGACAAACCCAGCAGTCCCCTCTGAGTCGCATCTGGACTTGCCTAGACTTGCACAGATGTGTCCAAAAATGGTAAGACTAAATCCCAGTCAATTAAAAGTATACTAGTGTAACTTCTGCTTGCTCAATCAGTCATACATGATATGACCTCACTGTCCCTGAAACTCCCCTTAGCTGTGCTTGAAAGGAACCTGCAAGTTCCTATTGGGGTCATCGTCATCTTGTACAGGTGAACAACTAAGTTCCCACATGGTGGAATATTAGTAAATGTTCTTGGCTCTTACATAATATTTGAGTCTGGGGTCCTCTTCCATGTTCCCCTGGACCCTTACAATTGCCACTTTGTTTTTGCCTCTGAAAAGAAACAATCATTGCTCTCAGATATTTTCTGCTTTGAAATTTTTTCCACAAAAAAGAAAGCATGTAAACAAGCAAGCCGATGATTTCCAATCTGTGGCAAGGGTAAAAAGTTAAGACATTTTCTCTTTTATTTTTCCTTTGTCCTACCCTCCCTCCCTCCCTCCCTTCCTCCCTCCTTCCCTCCTTTCCCTCCTCTCTCCCTTCCCCCTTTTCCTCCTTTTCTTATAATCTCTGTTTCTTTAGTTCCCTATTTTCTTCATTCACCTTATTGAATAACCTCTTGCAGAAGGAATGGACCAGAACACTGTTGACAGAACAGAGTTACATGAATTTTTCTAGAAGTTACATTGAGTGCTAGGAACCAATAAAAAGAAAAATGATAAAGTAACTTTAAAAATGGCAATGTATTCAGCCCACTGTATATGAATATTTTTAGTTTAACCTGTGTTGCTAGTCAAAACTTAGTACTCACCAGCTACTGTTGGGACCAGGAGGGAGTTCTAAGAAATGGGTTGCGAGGAGGCTGGAGAGTGGGGAGGGCCAGAGGAGGGGCACAACCCCAGTAGGAGCCTGATCCAGAGCACAGTTAAAATATGGCATACTTATTGTGGTTCATACAGAATTAATAGAATCATTGTGAGACTTAAGTAATATATACAAAGCACTGTGCATATTCTCTATATATCTAATGTGTGATTAAACAGCCACCAAGAATTCAGACCTGGGCTTTCACAGCACCTCTCCTTTGTTTGGAGACTCTCTGAGCCTGGATGGAGAGAGGGAGAAGGAGAGAGAGAGAGAGGGAGGGAGAGAGAGGGGGGAGGGAGGGAGGGAGGGAGGGAGAGAGAGGGGGGGGAGGGAGGGAGGGAGGGAGGGAGAGAGAGAGAGGGAGAGAGACAGAGGAAGGGAGAGAGAGAGAGGGGGGAGGGAGGGAGGGAGGGAGGGAGAGAGAGAGAGGGAGGGAGAGAGAGAAGGAGGATGAGGAGGAGGAGGAGGAGGAGGAGGAGGAGGAGGAGGAGGAGGAGGAGGAGGAGGAACAGGGAGCTTCCTAGACCATGCAGGGGCCAGCTGGAGAATCCAACAGAACAATATATATTCTCATAGAAGTTACCTTCTTATTAGGGTCACAGTGGTGAAAAGTAAATGTCCTAAATGACAGCCTGGGCTCAGCTCAGGCAGAACTCTGGCTGAACAGAGGATTGCTATCAGGTAAATAGAAGCCTAAACTCAGCATTCCTCCGACATCTTGTGAAGCTGTGTCTTACTATCAAGAAAGCAATTACTTTCGTGCACAGGCAACAGTTTCCCTTGCTGTCTCTCCCCAGGATCTTTCTGGCTGCTCTAGCTCACAGGCTCTTCTAGTTCATGGGCACCTCCTCTCCCCATTACCTATCCCCACTAAATTGCTGAGCCACTCCCAGCTGCCTGTTTTACCTCCCCACAAAGCCTGGCAGTTTGAATCCCCAAACAAACTCTCTTTGTACTCGGAGAGGTCTAGTTCATGGTTTCATGGCATCCTCATTTATATCCTGCGGATGAAATAACACCTGGCAAGAGACGGAAAAGATCCTGTTGGTCAAGGCAGTGATGATGAGAGATGCACACTAGGCTTCCTTGTTTCTGGAAGTGCAGGACAGTGTCTACAGTAAAAAGCAAGCATTTTAGTGTGTTTCCTTAAAACACTGGGAAGGCTTGATTAGCATTTTAAGCAAATGAAAGGCTGAATCTGGGATGTACTTTGCCCCAGTTTTATAGCCTTGGGCAAGCTAGTAACTTATCCAAGAACCAGTCATCTTCATTTTCACTGGATGTGGTGATATTGCTCCATGAGCTTGAGAGTTTTCTGAGTGTACAAAGCATCATTGACTATGAATGACATTGTGGACAGTTATTAGCAAGTTCAATCTGCTTACTGCATGTCATATGCTGGAGAGCTAAAGAAAACAGAAGGCACTCCTTGTAGACCACAATGAAGTGGGAGGAATGTGTGGAAAGACACATAGAAAACATTAGTGGTGAAATCCTTATGTGGTAGAACAAGTTAATTTCTAAATTCATCCATCCTTTTCTTTTCATACAGGACTTTGGATCCAGTAGAGCGTGTTGGTCATAATTCTAACAAGCTCCGGATTTTTCTACGAAATGGTGATAGATAGAAAATGACTATAGAAAAATGTCCCGATTGATTTTTAACATTTTGGTACACCCAGAATATACTGAACACAGTTGCATTGCTCTGGTGCCAGAAATATTTGTGTTGTTAAACAAATTATCTCCAGTAGAAACCTGAATCCATTACCCTGTTCTTGCCAAGCCTCCGGGGTAGGAGTTGGGAATGGAAGATGAGACTGCATGCCTGTGATGTAGGAACTCTCCTGCTGAAGCATACCCAGCATTGAAATTCAGCCTTTCTTTGCATAGCAAAGGCTGCTACTGGGGATTAGAATCACAGGACCTGGAGCTTTACACTGGCAATTCCTGTCCCACTTTCCTGGACTTTTTGCCTCCTGTCATCTGGCTGCTTGCACATCCCCTGCTGTTGGTGGAAGTGTTCCCTCTAAGGTGTGTGTGTGTCCTGTCTTTACCAAACTGCCTCAACTAATGTGGAACTCACACTTTTCCAGGAAACTGAAGTTGGCTAGCTACCTCTCACTGTTTCCCCAGGAGCTTGTAAGTAAATTCACATCTCATAATACCTATCATTTGTCTTACTGTCCCCACTAAACGAACTTGAAACCTCAGGAAGTGGGATGTCTTCAGTGTGTTCTGATCGGGAACCTGTGATAAGGATGGATCTTGCTCATTATTCCTTCCTAAGTTCCAGCAGGATTGGTACAGTTCTATGACAAATTGGGTGTCATGAACTGCAGATATTACTTTCTGATAGGCGGTTCCAACCAGCTGCCTGAGCAGCTTTGCATCAAATCACATGAGTGGCTTTCCCAGAACACATCGTGAGGTGAGCATCTCATGCAAGCCTAGATATTCAAAGTAGATGGTGCTCTGTGAAAGTGAAGCCAATTTTAGTCCAGCTGCCTCTGGAATCCAATTAATTTGACTTCATTGTGTGAATTTTACATTACCTGTGAGGGACAACCAGATCTAAGAGAGGTGGAAGACTGGACAAAAACTAGAAAATAGAGAATACTGATGACTTAGATAAGAACACAAAATCATAATAGGTGCTCAAGAGTGAACTACATTTTCTTCAACCAAGCTTGCATCATGTAAGCTATATTCAGAACCCGCAGCAATTTGTTATCAGGCAAGGACTCTTTGGGTGCTGCTCCCTAGACTGACTTAGGGACAGTGACATTTGTCTTCATAAATTAACCCAATAAGCATCACAGCAAAATTCAGTATCAATTTTTATTTCCTACCATACACCAAATGTACAGCACTGAACACAACTTTGTTGCATTGATGTAAGAAATATTAATTATTTGAAGAAACCGTATACAAACAAACTACTTCAAATAAAAATGCATACATCATTGCCTGTTTTGTTTACAAAAGACCCAATTTACAGTACCAATCATTAACATAATTGAAACAAAAACAATTCAGTGCATGTTACAAAACACAAGTACCAAGGTGGCAAATAAATACAGACACACTTCATAAAACTATGTGAACACAAATAAATTAACTGAAGTCATGTAAATTATAGTAATAAATACATAGGTTTGTAAGAGATCTCTTTAAATAAAATATATAACAAACTTGTTAAAATATTTAGCAAAGTAAACTTTTGTCTTTGTAATAAGTGAGCCCATTTGTGTGCTTCTTCGAAGTATTGTGTAGCAAAATGTTCAAAGACATATTTTAATAGGAAATTTTGTGTCCCGTTTTTAGTAGACACCACTCATGGTAGCTGCTTCTTTTAAATAAACACCTTTTCTACCTAAAAACAGACATGTCATTTTCACTAAACTAAGATTCAAGAGTTCAAATGAACCCCCAGCCAAAGATAAGCCCCACTTGATGCATAACAATAACCACAATTCCATGAGAGTGGACCACTTTTCATGTATCTGAGCAGGTAACAATAACCACAATTCCATGAGAGTGGACCACTGTTCATGTATCTGAGCAGGTAACAGTAGTAACAGTGAATTCAAGCCTGTGAATGCCATCACACTAAATCTAAATATCCATGAGGCTAGTAGAAAATAAACACTTTATTATAGCACAGAAAATTAAGCCCACACTAAAGTTCATGTGTACATTTACACAGAGGCACATCTGCACATGAAATGTGTGTGTACACCAAAAAGGCAGTTTAGCTGGTTGTTTATACCTTTTCCTTAAAAAAAATAAATATAAAAAAACCTTTGAAACAATGCTTAAACTACTTTACAGTCCCTGAAATAGACATTGCCTTTACTACAGCAATTACTAAACTCTGATCCAGTTGAGATTTTTAGACTCAATTTCATGTGTGAATCAGTGTGAGTTCATATATGTGTGGACTGTGCCAGTGTGTGTGTGTGGTGTGTGTGTGCGTGTGCATGTGCATGTGCATGTGTGTATAGTCCAATAGTTATATCAAATTGAAAATTGTCTTATTTCCTAGGGAAATGTAGACCAATGTTGTCAGTTTTCAGATTGGAATAACACTTTTTCATGTCTTATTATGTTTTCCACTCTTTTCCAGTCAATCCAGTAAGATAAATGCTATTTCAAGGGATATTGTATCTACAAAATTTCCATTTGGATGTGTCTGTATTTGCTACGTATAACTCTATACCAATATTGTCACTTGTAATATTGTACTAACATGTAGCAGGAAAAGCCTAGCTGGTCACATCAAAGCTTAGTTCTCATCTTGGGGAAGGGCTGCCAACTAGCCAATGTGACTTGAAAAACAAAAAGGCAAAATCTGGTTCACTTAAAATCTATGCTTTAGACAGCTCAAATAAATAATTCTTATTAATTAAATCCATGCAGCCACATGGAATATTCTGCTGACTGTTTTATTTAATTATTGCTATCAAATTCTGAGCACACTGTTTGCCAGCATCCTGTGCTTTTATGAACGGAGATTTCCCACTAGTGGGCACCATTTATCTTCATAGTCCTTTGCAGCTCACATTACCAAGAACCATTTACAAAACCAGGGAAGGGGGAAAAGAAGTGCACAGCAGAAATCAAACTTGACCATAGTGCAGTCCTCACACAGGGATTTCTTTTACACCTTATTGTTGTTGTTGTTGTTTTTCTCATTAAACCCAGAAAGATGAGTGATTTGAGAACAGCATTTCTATTTAAATCTATTAGGAGATAAATTAATAAACACACCTGTAAAAATATGGTAGACTTCAAAATGCAGTTAAAAGATAAAAAACTCTTTGATTAGTAATAAATAAAATATAAAATGTCACATTTATTTTATATATACTTTACAAAATAAAGAGTACAATGAAGAAATAAAAGAAAAAGATATGAAAATAAATGAGATCTAATAACTGACTGCATTACTTTTAATCCAAAGAGTTTATCATAGTTTTTTTTCCTTTTTATGTCAGCTGGGAGAAAATTAGTGCAATGTTGCAATTATAAATGCAGGGGGAAGCCTCCAGGCTCGAGGGGTGAGAGGCCCCTGTGGATCGGCTGGAATTCACTGATGTGGTGACCTCTGCTTCCTGCATGCTGCCCTCCTACACGTGGATGCCCTTCACCGCCTGCTTAATACTTTCCAGTAGAGCTTTGCATTCCGGTGAATAGTCCCGCTCCAGATTGCTGTACATGTCTGTGAGAGTATTTACATACGCTTCAAAATTCTGCTCCGTGATAGGCCCCTGATGGAGACAAAGCAATGGAACCAATCACAGAGGTTCACCTGCCCCAGGGAAGACCAGGAGACACTGAAGCATGCTGCCAACTTATGTAAGTAAGAAGAGAAGGGTTTATATGGCTGTGGCAGTTTGGGGATGGGGCATCCAAGTTTTAGTGTTTGTGGGGTCTATCTGTTCACTCTTCAGTCATGGCATTAATGAAACCTGATTGAATGGTATTGAGGATCAATCTGATGCTATATAATGAATGCATCTGGCTGCTGTGCTAGAGGTCTCCAAATGACATTCCTTCTCTGGGAGGGGTCTTGGCCTCAATTGCACTTGCTCTGTGGAAGGTATGTGCAGGAGATGAAGGTTTGCTTGTGCCAGGTGGTTCTTTAACAGTTCTAGGCTAGAATGGCAGGGATTTCAGACTTAAGCCAGTTGCTCACTAACAGCTGTGACAGATATTTTCTAGTAAGAAATTGTTCATTTCACCCTCTCTATTTCTTTAGGGAGAGTATCAGTGTTAGAAGGTCTAGACTGACTCATTTTTACCCTGGGTGGTATATAATTTATTTATTTTTTACTTATTTGAATTTTTTTTGAGAAAGGGAACTCTCTATATAGACCAGGCTGGTCTTAAACTCCCAGAGATCTAGATCTACCAGCCTCTGTTTCCCAAATGCTAGGATCAAAGGGTTTAAAGGCCATGCTGGGACACACACACACACACACACACACACACACACACACCCACACACACGCGCGCGCGCACTGTATATGGATGTTATTTATATGCTTTATGCCTGTGGAAGCCAGAAAAGGGTGTTACATACCCCAAAACCAGAGTTACAGCCAGTTCTGAGCTACTAGGTTGGAGTTGGGAATTGAACCTGGGTCCTCTGGAAGATCAACCAGTGCTCTTAACTGCTGAGCTATCTCTCCAGTCCCATAATATGTTTTAAAGTGGGTACATATAAGCTGTGTGTAAACTTCATGCATAAGAGACAGGACATGCATGACAAAAGGGAATACTATCCAGTCATGTATGGTATCTCCATGTTCCCACCTTTTTGAAAATCCACAGTAAGTACCTTATTACATTACAAGGTGCTTGGAAGGAAGGACTTAAGAATGAGTAAACAGCTCAAGTGTACAGAGAAGGATAGTAACTGCTCTTGTTTAGAAGGTAAGTTCTCTAGATCTGAAGATGATTCGGTGTGCCTGGCAGAGTTCTGATCTGGAATATGCACGCTGTCTAGGTGTGATTGTTCCCTTTCGGTCTCTACCTCTGACAGGCATGTGCTTCTTACAGAATCATGTAATAGCACAAAGACTCTGGTGGCAGAGTGGGCAAAGGCCAGGAGGCTCATTGTCCCACAGCCTCCTGATTTGTGCCAACTTTGAGTCTTCACCCAATGAAGGAAGCTGAGCCACGGCTTTCTCAGTGGCAGCCAGGAAATCATAAGTGTTCAGTGCACTGGGGAGCTTTTGTGTGATCTGGCCTACAGTCACAGCCACAGCACCTCAGATGTTCACTGGATGGTGGGTAGGTACAAGTTACCTTGTTGTCAGTCATTTCTATGGCATTGACAACAAAGAAGAAATACACATTTGAAGAAGGAGCTAGAAAAAGAGTCAAAAGGAAGAAGAAAATAATCTCCTTGACAGAAGCTAAAGTTAAATCATTGATGGTGTGGGGAGAAACATTTAGTATTGTTGGAAAGGGGATAAACTGAGCAATTTAATATTTTGAGCAAAACCCAATTGTATTTTATCAATTATATTGCTACTGCTTTAAGTCCTCTTATATGTAAACTAGCAGTTCTGATCTAAGAATACAGGCTCTGAGAAGATTAACATCATTCAGCAATATCTCCAAAGACTGATTTATATTTATAAAAGTATAAAATAAATTTTTTGTGAATTTTAAATAGTTGAATGCCTAGGTTTTAGAAATAAGGATGCCTCGAGCATACCCATTCTGTGCTCCATGAGCAGAAGTTGACCATTCCAAGGAGTTTATTGGGGATGGACCTGTTTATTTTACACTTCGTGAGCTGGGTGGGATGGTACTGAGGCTGCATAGATACTTCTGTTTGGAAACATATGTACCATGAGTGAGCTCTGGCCTCCAGCTTCCATGTAACTTTATAAAATATCTTCAAGCAAGCCTTCATCTTTAAAGGACCTGGCCTTTTGGGATGTCACTGGCCTTCATTAATCTGAGTGTGTCTACCATGTTCTCAGATGGGCAGATCACTGAGAGTGAGAATGCGTCCGGGATAGGTGGCTGTTGACAGCTCAGCCACAGGGTCATGACACCAGAGTAGACTACAGGACAGCAGAGCCTTGCTCTTGGTCTTACCATCTGTGGCAGCTGGATGTCAGCAAGGCTGGAGATGAGAGCCTGGCTGAGGCCTGCCAGCTCCTTCAGCAGACTCTCATTGCTCTGTTCTATCAGCTTGTTCTCCTCCTCTATGGTCTTCAAGTTGCTCTCCATAGATGTTATCTAAAACAGAGACAATGACATGAGAAGCAGAGCTGGAGGCACATGTAAGGCCTCAAGGGACAACTTGTGGCTGGATATACAAGTCCAAAGGATATCTCCATCCCAAACTACTGATTTTTAAACATAGACTTTTGCATGAATTGCAGATCTAGCTTCTCTACATGGCTAGATGGTAGATATCTCAAAGGCAATAGGACACAGAGTATATCTGTTATTTTCCCCAATCCTGCTCCGGCTGTACCTCTTCTTTGCAGTGGATGACAAACTGCATGGTGCCCAGAATCAGCGTTCTTTCTCTCATACTTCAAATTCAATAAGTACTTCTTTCAATAAACACATGATAAGGCCACTATCCACCTACGTTGTGACCACCTGGACCCAGCCATTGGTGTGATGGCATCGCTTCTTATGGGTAACCTTGTGCCATCTTTGTTCTGCATAGTTTCTTCTTGGTCCTCCTCAATATACCCTCAGAATCAGTCTTTTGAAGGTCAAGTTAGAATGCATGTCAGATGACTAAATTACTCTTAAGCTCAAAACCCTTCACAGGACCCTCAATCTATCAAAGTAAATGTCAAGATCATCAACATTGACTAGGCTGTACTACGTGAACAGTCCAGTTCATCTCTGGTACCCTCATATAACTTTCTCTACCCAGCTAGATTACCACCTGACATATTCTCCATCGCTTTTGGCTAACTCCTTCATTTCTCAAGTGATTGCAGACATATTTCCTTCTTCTTGGGGCTTAGCCATCTCACTTAATATCAACCCCTATTTTTTTATAACAGCAGTTACACACACACACACACACACACACACACACACACTTTACTGTCTGTCTTCCTGTCTTCCCCACTTAGATTAAATGCTCCATGAAGAAGAGGCTTGGGTTCTTTGATAATGGTTTTAAGAGGAGTCTCATGCTTTCCAAATGGAAGCATCAAGCTCTTTCTGTTGGCCACTGTGGCATTCAGAAGATTGGATAATGCAACTACTTCATATGGATTAGACTGCTGGGGTGAGGAATGCTGAGAGATGGGATTAAGCTTGTATTTTGGGAGTGGACAAGGAGAAGAAATGGGAAAGGCCACATGAAAGACCCCCTATTATCTGCTTCATCTTGTTTCTCCACTTCTAACTTGTTGCAATTTGGTTATTTTTGTTTTTTTGAGATGCTGAGGTTCTAATCCAGAGTCTTACATATGGGTAGGCCAAAAAAAATCTACCACCAAACTACATCTGTAACAAAGGTTCTGTGTTAACATCTTAAAAACCCTGGACTGAATTTTTAATTCCCAGTGGTCTAGGTTTAGACACTGCTTGGAGTTTTTTGTTTTGTTTTTGTAAAATAACACAGAAATATTCTAGAATTAAATTTAAAGAGTGTAATGTCGTATGTGCATTTTAACAAAGGATCCTTAACCTTTGTGACACAAGTCTCTACAATGCACCATGTTCCTTACAGGAGTATGTATGGTCATCAGCTTTATTTGTTCACAAAGTGGGTTTTTTATGCCAGCTAGGTAAAGGCTGACGAGTCAGTAGACACAGGCATGAGAAACACATTTCCCTAGGGTGTCAGCATAGTTTTAGATGCAAAATTCAGGAAGCTGAATGTTTTGTAACCACTAGAGAGTATGGTTACTTTCGAAATAATTAATTGATGTTTTTCAACCTGGGTCTGAAGTTTCATCATATCTGCTTCAATTTTAAGGTTGGATTCATTCAGTTCCTTTATTTCTTCATCCAAATGCCTAATTTCTTCATCACCATCAATACCTGTGAAGAGTCAACAGTCCACATTGAAAAAAGGAGACAAGGCCCAGCAATAGTCTATTTTATGTTTAAATATGAGACTTCAGTTTAATGGTTTTACCCAAAAAAGAAAGGAAACAGTGTAGTTATTCATCAAAGGAAGGCCTCCACTAGAAGGGTCTTGCACTAGTAGGGTCTTGTAAGGACCCTCAGTGGAGAATATTCCCACTCTGACTTTAAAACTAAGAAGGCAGACAATGGAGACAGGAGTAGTGAGATGAGCATCCTATGGGGGGGAAGCAGGAGGCACATGGCACATGGTGCAGGTGAGAGAGAAGTGGGTGTTCCCAGCCCTAGAAGAAGATGATCTGGGGAATGGGTCATGGGGACCTCATGAGGGACCTGGAATAGGATCCAGAGAAGGATTTTAAGGCAGAAAGTTGCTGTGTTCACCTCCCCATCTTTGCCTCTTCAACAGCTTTCCTCCCTGCCTCCCTCCCTCCCTCCCTGCCTTCCTGATGTGCTGGAAATCAAATACAGTGCCCTGCACATGCAAAGTGAGTACTACACTGCAGAGGTGCATCTCCAGTAATCTGGATGAATCTTAAAAACACATCTGGATTTTTGTTGAGACAGAACAGATGGTGACACAGAGCAGAAGACAGAAGACAGCTGAGAAATTATTCCTGGTGTCCTGGTTAGATCTCAGCCCCTGGCCCATTGCCATGCAGGAAGAAATAAGGGAAAAAGAAGGACTCAAAGTATGATGTGCAGGCAGGGTTTTCTAGACTTGTGAAAGATTAGAATAGCAGATGTGATAAGGAAGATTCTATGGTGAGTATTTTTCTGTAACAAGTCATGCAGTTACAATGGGCAATTTTGGCTATGTCACAGGATGCTTTTGAGAAGTCTCTTTAAGTGACAGATACTGGTAATGGGATTCAGTTAAGATTATGTTTTCCTGATACTCACTGTTAATGAAGATGGCTGTTATACTTTGGATCCTGAATGACACCAAAGGCCCATGAGTTAAATCATGGATGTTGGGTAACTCTCTGGGGAGATTGTGTAAACGTTAAGAGGTTAGTCTCTGAGGGAGGGCTTTGGGTATTTGGGAGCTATGTCTTTAAGGGGTTGTTAAATGCTGGCCTCCTCTTTCCTGACTCCATGGTTAGAAGGTGGGTGGTTTTGTCCTGTTACATTCTTATTACCATGGTGTACTACATCATCAGAAGCCCACAGCAGTGGCAATGGCTGGGACCTCCAAAGCTGTGGGCTGGCACAAATCTCAAGTTTGTTAACTTCATGATTTCAGAATAATCACAGTGGAAAGCTGGCTAACAAGAACATAGGTACTTAGTCAAGGGTATGCGATCTGGAAGATTCCCAATAACAAATGGCTCCTTGGGCTTATTGGGAAGTATGTCCATGGGAAGAGAACTCAAAACGTTTACGAGGGCAAGAAACATGGCTCAGCAGGTGTAAGTGCTTGTTGCACAAGCATATCAACCTGAGCTTGATTTCTAGAATCCATATAAAACATTAGATCTCATGGCACCTAGCAGTAATACCAGGATTATTGTGGGGAATGAGAGGCTGAAACAACCAGTTTGGAGTATGCAGGACAATAGCATTAATAAAAAGGGGATGAATGACTCACAAAATTATCCATAAATTTGAGGGAGTGTAGGGAAGGGGTATATGAGGAGTTTCAAGGGAGGGAAGAGAAGGGAGGAATGTTGTAATTATACTATAATCTCAAAAAATGTTTGACAGGAATATGTGTACATCCATGCACATATACACATGATCAATCAATCAATAAATTATTACTACAGGACCTGGTATGCATCCAGCTCTCTTTAATTCTTATCAAAATAATAAATAAGGGGACTAATATATTACCAAGTTGTGATCTGGGAGATATTTTAGCAACAATGCTGAATTACCTCAGTACCTTTGGACTTTTTTCAGTCAATATGTTACTTATCTACTTCCACTGAGACATCAAACCTCTCCACACACAGCCAGAAGATTCATCTTTCTCTCAGTGGAACTCATTCTCGTCAAGGGGAGCTCAGGAGAGGACTCAAATTTTGAACTTCACTTTGAAATAACAAATAGTGACTCACTTGGTTCACGAGATACTCACTCTCCTTCTATAGATGGGGAATTGAGGTACTTAGTATCAGAGCTGTGATCCAAACATGAGTTTTATGCTTTCAAAATAGCTACACTCAGGGCCTCTATTATCTAGAATGTCACTTACTCATGCTCAACTTTAGACTGAATATATTCAATGAAAATTTACAGAAATAGCCCTTAAGTTTTAAAAATCTTGCATGTTTAGTAGGGTATTGCAATTGTTCTACTTTAGTATTAGTTTGGAATCCATTGGAGTCTTGGATGTTGGAGGTGGTACTACATCACCTCTATCCATAGATGTCTAGTTTGTTTAATAGCATAATAAGATGTATACCCGTGGACATTGTTGGGAATGTTAAACTAGCTAGGCATTGCGATGGATCAAGGAAAGCATATGAATACCCCATTATATGTTTATGCAGTGAGCTTTGTGCTCTTTACCCTTACATATGTTTCAGCTATGGTGACATATAGACAAAACACATTAAAGTGTCCCAGTTTCATTGACAGTGTTTTGATGGAGAGGCACTGGAGAAGTGGGATGCTTCTAAGAAACAGCCAGAGTTCTAGGCAAAGCTCAGCTCCTTAGTACGTGGGTGCTGGCAATGGAGGAGGACACTGCTCTGTTGCTAACATCAGGGGCTTAAGCTCTGGGTGCTGACTTTCCCAGGGTCTTAGCAGTGGACAGCCAGGGAATGAGAGAAGCACCTAAAGGATGCTGTAGATAATCCAGATGAAGGCAACCCCGAGTAGGAAGTGATGGGCAGCTCAAGAGAGAGCTCTTTTCCTCCATGATACCACATATCTCTCACTTAAATCCCATATTCACATTAAATAAGCAAAAGAGACATTCAGAAAAGAAATGTGAGAACAACTTGAAGTCTACAGTTGAACACTGCATTAGAGTGCACATTCAACATGCAAGAGGCCTGGGGTTCCATCCCCTGCACCAAAGATGAAAGAAAGTGGTTGTGGCTCAGCTGTAATCATGTGGCAAAGACAACATCAAATGCAGTTTATGAAGAATAGTACTGCTTTGCCACCAAGTATCCAATGCTCTTTGAAGCTCTTTGAAGGGAAACACATAGGTCTGAGCTAATCTGGAACAATTCTGAGAGAAACATTAGAAAAATTCCAAAATAACAATGGGGGCTTCCAATGGAACTCAGAATTAATATATCTTAATGCCAACAAGGGATTGACACTAAGTCTAGGCAGAGAAACACAGAGATACAGATACTAGGGTACCCAGAGTCACCATAAAACATCTGTTTTTAAACAGAAAACACTTAAAGATTCAAATACAAATGCCAGAAATTGTGTTTATTGAAATTTAACAGGAACATACACTGGAAATAATATGCATGTACACATGTGTTCACATAAGCCTACAGACATGCACATTCACCCACATGTGTATGCATGGGAGACAAGCTAAGATTGAAAATACTGAAGGACACAATTATTGTGTCTTTCAACTTTTCTGCTTGCAATTTCACACCTTTCCTTGCAGGAAAGCCTCATTAGATAAATAGGGGAGACAATTGTCTCAGAGATGTCACAGTTACAGCTCAAATCTGAAGGAGCCTTTTCTGCTTGCACACTAAAAGTATGCTTTAATATTGTTCAGATTCATTTGCAGAGGCCACTGGGATCTACAGTCTGGATCTTGGTTGAGATGGTGACTTACCCCCGGTTGCTTTGAGCTTGATGGTCATTAGTTCCTCAGAGACCTTGACCTTTTTGATAGCTTGTGCATTGAGAGGGCATCCAGATAAGCTGTGAGAAGAGAGTTTATACCCATGTGTGAAATGCACATCGTTTCTCATACAATTAAAACCTTTTGTGCTATCAGCTATTGATATTTTTGTCTGCTCATTAATTATATAATAGTCCATAGGTTCTTCATAGAAAGTAACTAATAAATATATGTTAAATAAAATTCAAAAGCCCTAAAATAATGGAAAGTGTTTTCTTTTTTTTTCTTAACCCAAAATACAAGTTGTCACTGATGACACAACCAGTTCCAATTCACGAGACAGAACATTGGTTGTCCACATTCGTGAATGTGCATTCGGTGGTACATACTTCATTTTCTATAGATGCAAAACTGCCCAGATAGGTCGTAAGCAACAACCGTTATCACTCAGCTGGAGTCCATGAAGAATAAGGCAGAGTCTAGTTCTTCCTGCCTTCATACACAGTACAGTCTGAGCTTCAGAGAGGCTGCACAATAGTCAGCAACAAGCGCCACCCGCAACAGAAGACAGTCTGCTTACAGAAAGTTCCCCTTTTCTCCTGTAACTGCTAAAACATTATTTTCATTTAAAAATTTCTACCCTGAAATGGGAATAAAAGCAGCTGCTGCAGGTGCAGCGGGGGCAAGGAGATCTGTTATCCGAGCTGGCGCTCATGACCCCGTCCATTGAATTGCTGCTCTCTTCGGCAGGCTGCTTCCTTTAATGTCACTTGCTTTATTTAAATAGCACCAGTATGATAATGACAACACTGAACAAAACCTGTTTTCCATCGTTTATGATCAGGTAATTTTCTTGTTCTAAGCAGTCATTAATTCTCTCATGGCTTTGTTCTATCTTTGTAGAAACCAGTTTTAGATTAAAATAAAAATGAGAATAATCAACCATTTTCCCCACAGAAATGTGGTTTCAATTAATCTATAAAACAACCATTTCAACCTGAAGTTCATGATGCTACGCCAAGTAGAAGAAAAGTTTTCTGGAGTGAAGTCCTTGATAAATGCGAAGTGTTACCTGCTTTAAGAATAACCAAATTATTCTATGTTAAGATTCTATAAAATACAGAAAGTAATATAAAATTTAATGGTAAAATATAATAGGTAACACTATGAAAAGGTTATGTGGTTTATGTGGTTTGCTCATCTTTGATAAGTGATGAGTTCTTTATGCAGGGAAAGAAAATGAGAGGCACAACTTGAGCTTGAAACCATTTTGGAGCCTCTCCCTAACAATTGTGGCCTATGTGAGATTCAAGGAGACTCACTCTTTCTCTGAAGAGTGTGCATGAGTTTGTCCTCTTTTATTGTCACATGCCATGTTTTTAGAAAATGGTCGTGAAGGGGATCAATACTCAGTTGGTGAAGTGAGATGTTAAAGGTGTCCATTTTAATATAATGGACATTTCATTTCATTTGAAACTTCTCACAACACCTAGTTTGCAATTTACAATAAATTTCTAGGTAGACACAGTGTTATAAAAATGCTAGCCATCAACACATAACTTAGAACCATTGTGTGTTGTTATGAAGCAAGGCTTTGGAAGGTGGAGACAGGGGATAGATCCTTGGAGCTTACTAGCCCATTAGCTTAGACTACTTGTTGAAGTTCCAGGCCAGTGAGAGATCCTCTCTAAAACAAAAGATGGACAGTCTCTAGGAAAGTCACCCAAGGTTGTCCTCTATCCTCTCTCCCTCCCTCCCTCCACACCTCCACCCCCTGTGTGTGTGTGTGTGTGTGTGTGTGTGTGTGTGTGTGTGTGTGTGTGTGGTCAATCCCAAGTGTCCTTCCTCAGGCCTCCACATATACACACACATAAGCATGAGACCCTACCCCCAGTTCTCATGATGGAAGTCCTTTATGGATTGGAAATCAGAGCTTGGCAGGCCTGGGGACAGGCTTATGTGGGCTCCATAGTAGAAAAACAAAACAATGTAAATAACGTAAAACATGAGTTTTATATGATTTCCATGACATCTGCAATTCAGTTAGGACACATCAAATCAGAAGTGAGCATGACTCCATTTCTTCTCGTACTACGTTGGGTAGGTATATTTGGGGTAGTGTGGTCACAGACTCATTTGCCTTTCTTAAAACAAAATGACAGGGCACACTGGGTTTGTGACTGCTGTTCTTAAATAGCAAATAACTCCCAACTTCGCCCAGTTTGTGTACTGAGCATAAAGGAATCAGAGTTTCCCTAAAAGTGCATAGGAAGTACCCTGCATGACTCGAAGGGGCTGGGACACTCAGAGCCTGCAGAAATTATTAGGAACTTTTTACCTTTTTGCCTGTGGGAGGAAAGTGAGCTAAAGAGCTGGACTATGATGATCATTGTGCAAGCGAGGGTTCCCTTGGGGACCTGGGACTCAGTGGTGAAGTATGTCACCACAAAGCCCCGGGTCCTTGTGTCCCACCTGTTCCCACACATGCTGCTTGCTTTCAGGTTGCTGTTGGCAAATCACATCTCCCCAGAAGCAAAACAGTGCTACACTGGCCTTAAATTCGGTGACAGCAAGAGAGGTGAATGACAGAGATAGGTGAGTGAAAGTTCACAAGCACATGACACAGTAGAGTGGATAGGACAGCACCACTTAAGAGTTGGAGGGAAACATTAAAGGACTTTAAAATGTAACACAAGCAATATTTTAGAATGTAAGAAAAAATGGAGTTTCTAGGGCCCTTGAAATCTGTGCAGTGAATTTTCAGAAACAGAAAATGCACTTTTCATTCTTCAGACTAGTCAAATATCTACTTAGCAAAACTGTGTTATGAATCTAAAGAGGTATAAATGATGGTGTTGTGAGGGTCTTCTCCTTCCCCTAAGTAACTCAATTACAACAATCAGAAGAGCAATAAGACACAAAACAAGCCTTACCTTCTGTGGGTGACGAAAACATTATTTACATGACCCAGCCCATTGCATCCTGGCAAGGGACAGTGGGGAAGTTCTTGCTTGTTCAGTTTCCAGGAGAGAGGGGACCCATTGAGGGGATTCTCCTTCTGTCTCTTGGCAGCCAGAGGACAACCAGAAGCTGTGCGGTGTGATGTGTATTTGCCTGATATGTGACCTTGGCCGTCACACCCTATTACAGGACATCTAAAGAAGCACAGTGGAGCCATCATCAGCTTGGAAAAAGGAATTAACAGCTCCACGCTACACAGAAGCAACCAACAGCAGAGAGTTTCAAAGGATACCACCATATGCTGGCTAATTTTATGTCAACTTGACACAGACTAGAGTCATTAAAGGGGAGGGAACCTCAGCAGACAAAATACCTCCATAAGATCAGGCTGCAGGCAAGCCTGTAGGGCATTTTCTTAATTATTAATTGATGTGGGAGAGCCCAGCCCATTTTACATGGGGTCATGTCTGGGTTTGTGGTGCAGCAGTAGATTGAGCAAGCCAGTAATCAGCACTCTTCCATATCTTTGCATCAGCTTCTGCCTCCAGGCTCCTGCCCTTTTGGATTCCTGACCTGCCTTCCTTCAATGATGAACAGCAATATGGAAGTATAAGCCAAATCAGCCCTTTCCTCCTTAACTTGCTTTTGGTCTTGGCATTTCATCACAGCAATAGAATCCTTAAGACACACAAAAAGCAGCAAAATAGCATTGTATTAGCAGTAACAGTTGGCAGGCTTTGAGCTGAGAAATTTTCATGCATCACCTATTTTAATGTTCACTGAGAACTCTTTGAGTAGAGAATATTATCCCATTTTGCAGATGGGAAAAAGTGAGGTTTGTGTAAGAGTTTAGCTGATTTGCCACCTAGGAATTAAGAGATGGAGTCAAAATCATACCTACTGCTTTTTCTTTTCCTCTTTTTAATTGAAAATATATTTTAAATACAATATATTTTGATTGATTATGGCTTCTAGCCCCCAAATTCTCCCAGGTCTTCCCCACTGTTCTACCCACACAAATTCACAACCTTTTTCTCTCTCACTGGGATACAAACAGGTATCTTAAAACAATAATAGATAAAAATAAAAATAAACCAAAATTAGACAAAACAAACAAGCAAAAGAGCCAAAGAAGAAGCTTAAGAAACACATGTAGACACAGATACACACGTTCACACATGGAGAAACCCTATAAAAGCACCACTTCCACAGTGTTGCTTTCTTTCAAAACAGATGGGCAAAGAATAAATCTCTCTTCTGCATTGTCAAAGTGGAGAGATGCAGTTATAAAGGAGGAACTAGTCTTGAGCTTCTGAACAACATGACTCCTTAGCCAGAAGTCCTGGCTGTTAATGATTCATCTCCTCCGGATTCAGTGGGGATTCAGAGGCATCCTGAAGCTAACGCGATACAGCCTCGCCCAGTTCTTCATCAGTCATACTTACTTAAGTTCAGACTCTTCTTTATCTTCCTTGGTAGGAGTCATTTTGATGCCACCTTTCCTTGCACGAGGGCAACCAGACAAGCTAATAAGAACAACCAAGAACAGTACAAGACACTGTGATTATGAGATTATGACTGGGTATCATTGCCAAGGCACTAGTTTCCGTTTGAGAAATGCTGTTGGTCTTACCTTCTGTGGGAAGCATAGTTCCCAGTCACATGTCCAGAACCATCACAACCTGGGGTTGGACACCTAGAAAACACAGGAACACAGTGGGCTGCTAGGTTAGGGGAGAGATGGGCATCATGAAACATGTACCTTAAAGAGGATGAGCTGGACTCTTTTGGTTTAAGCAGCTATCTTTCAATTAAGGACCCATGTTGAAAACAAAAACTTAACATGTGAAACTGCTGAGTGATGTTTGGTTGATAACAATTGTTATGTACTATACGTTCATTTTTTTGAGACAGGGTATCCCGGTGTAGCCCTGGCTGGTCTGGAACTCTATGTAGATAAGGCTGACCTTGAACTCACAGGCATTCACCTGTCTGCTTCCTGAGTGCTGGGATTAAAGGCATGTGTCACCACGGCAGACACATTTTCTTAAATTCTATCTCAATGAGCATTCATAGGATGTTTTATATCATGGAATGCCATTCCTGAACCACAGAGTATGTAGTAACACAGCTTTTCAAATAAAATAATTATCAAACACCCAGTTAGTCAGAGAAACAGGCATTCAGGATTTAATCAGCTACACACAGAAACATATTCTCTGCTGTTAGACACATGTTTCTTACCCTTTCATGTAACTTTACAATTATTTTAAATTATGCATGATTTTTTTTGTTTTTTGGTGTGGGGGTTTGTGCAGTGTTGCTGCAGCAGCCAGAAGAGGGTGTTAGACCCCGGAACTGGAGTTCCATGTGGCGGTGAGATGCCTGACATGGGTACTGAGAAGTGACTCAGTCCTCAGTCCTAATTGCTGAGCTGTCTCTCCAGTTAGTCCTTTATTAACTTATTAGTAGTTTGTGTATTATCTTATCACATATATGATATAAATAGCTTGCTATATTTCATCTATTAAGTCAAGAAATACCTTTTTTAGGATTTTTCCCTTGAATATCTAAATAAGAGGCTAGTAAAATATGTATTTTTCTTGTATGGATAAGACAGATAATTTATTACGTGGCTACATGAAACATTTAATTATGGACATTGCAATAGGCCCTCCAGATCTACATGCTTCCAGTATCTTTCTGATTTTTAAAACATAAAATTAGAGAACATACATGAAGTGATAGCTATAACTGAGACATGGCATTGGATACACTTAGATGGAGTATGATATTACGGTGTGCCTTACATGTCAATCCATTAATTACTAATCCCAAAACAGCCTTGTATTTCAATCTATAAAAGTGGATATCAATATTCAACACTACCTTGATACAATAAATTCTACTTTTAACATTTTGAAAATGAGAAACATATTTGCATATTTCCAACTTCTCACTATTTTTGGTATAAAAATTTCAGGCTTTTATTTTGCTCATTATGAAATCTGTAAGATGTATTCTAATGTGAAGTTATTGGATATTTAATATAAATGTATTTATATAAAACATCAAGTGACAAATTTGGAATAAAAGAAGAGTAGGAAAAATAAAATCAGTAACTAAGTATTAATATTAACATATATATATACATACATATAGAGAGAGAGAGAAAGAGAGAGGGGGGACCTTAACAAAGCAGAGATGAGCCAGAACAATGTTTAGCAAAACTGAAATGCAGTTGGGATATTTAAAATTCTCATGATTTCCTAAAATTGATGCTGAAAATGTTTTGCTACACCTTTACTAGTCTGGTTTAGTAAATAAATTCTGAAATTAAGAGCAAAAATATTGTGTTTTCATGCTATTTGTAAAACACAAGAGCCTTCTCTCTTTCCCCCCAGCCCTCAGCACGTTAGCCCTAGGGGCTGGGGGGAAATTTTGACAAGTGTTTTTTTTTTGCTATTCCTCATACGGGTACAATTTAAGTTCTCTTGGCAAGGCAACATGGACACTGAACAATGAGGGCTCCACCAGGGTGGAGAGGGGCACAGAGGTCATGCCTCCCAACACTTACTTAAGCTCCTGAGAGTTGGCAGCCATGAGTGACTTAAGAGTCTTATCGGCTAGAGGACATCCAGAGACACTACAGAGGGAGAGGAAGAAGAGAAGTTCAGCACTGACTTGGACGAATGGACTCACTGGTGTCCTTAGGTTGTGATACACATTGCGTTCTGGGTGACCAGGGAATGAAAAGAATGAATTGGGATTGGGTCTTGTTTTACTATTAATGAACTTGGGCTCAGGGGACTTCAATTATTTGTTGTAAACTCAAATTTGCCATTTATCAAATGAAGGCTTTTAATCCAATGAGAACTCAGTGATCAGAAATAACCAACAGTTCATGCTCACTGCAGCACCAGTGACAATGGCTTCAGCTCTGAGCCACTGGCTAAGGGAAAGGAAATGCCATTAGCAAGAAAACAAAAGAGAGCCTCTCACCCTGCCCATCCTCATCAACTCCTCTATTTGTTCAGGACCAGAGGGGCCTCTTCCACTAGAGAGAGACCTCTCCCTGTGGTGTCTTTGCTTAATGTTAGGCAGGACAAGGGCCAGACCTGAAGCCTGATTTGCTCTGTAACCAGAACCAGAATACTCTTGAACAAGGATCATGATTTCTATATGCCATATCTAAATTTCTGAAAAATAAAGCAATCCCCAAATCCAACTGACCCACTCTCCATTTTCTACTCTAGACAGCTACTTGCTGTTCTAATAGGTGAGATGAAACAGACCAAGATAATGACAGCCTGAGCACATACAAGGACACTTGGTACCTGCGGTGAGACGCGTAGTTGCCTGTGACATGGCCGCTTCCATCACATCCTGGTGTTGGGCATCTGTGTCAGCAGAAAAACATATCATGAGTGCCAAGTGCATTTCATAGATAATTGCTCTTCCAGAGAGATTGCAAAGCATTTTCCCTTTTTAAGACTGCACTGTTTAGGGGATGCAGAAGGCAGAACATTAAGAACTTAGAGGCTGCCAGGCAGTGATGGCACACGCCTTTAATCCCAGAACTTGGGAGGCAGAAGCAGGTGGATCTCTGTGATTTCGAGGCCAGCCTGGTCTACAGAGTGAGTTCCAAGACAGCAGAGCTGTTGCACAGAGAAATCCTGTCTTCAAAAATCAAGAAAAAAAAAAAGAACTTGGAGGTTAAAAAAAAAGAATTCATAGGTAGAAGAAAAGTAAGCATGTCATTCAAACACTTCCTTCGTTTTTTTCTCTTTTCAACGTTATGTCCAAACATCCAACTCGAACGATGTGGGAAATGATGCTAACATGCCATCCTGGTGGGTTTTCAATCAACAGTCCATGCTGTTCTGTTTGTTGTATTTAGAGCCCTGGCATATGAATGGATGGACTCTCGGAGCCCATTCCACATTGAGGGATGATCTCTCAGCCTAGACACATGGGGGAGGACCTAAGCCCTGCCTCAGATGATATGACAGATTTTGAAGATCCTCCATGGAGGGTCTCACCTTCCCTGGGGAGTGGAGTGAGGATTGGGTGGGGGACTGGGGAGGTGGGGAGGTTGGTGGGGATAGGGGGGAGGAGGGGAGGGAGAGGGAGCTGGATTGACATGTGAAACAAGCTTGTTTCTAATTTAAATAAAAACAATCAAAAAGAAAAAAAGAAAACTTAAAAATAGGAAGTAGATCTAACTCCTAAATACAAGGGGGCAATAATTGAAGTATACACTGATTAAATTGTATATGATACTCAAAATGCTAAAAAAAGAAAGAAAAGATAAATTTGTGTCACCACAACACTGAAATATGAGAAGAGAAATCCTAGCACCTGCTATATGAGACATTATAGAAAGGGATTTCTGTAGGTTTTTAATAGAAGAACTACCTCACTCTCCCTGGGGAGTGGATAGGGAGTAGGATAGGGGTTAGTGGGGGGGAAATAGGAAATAGGAGGACAGGGGGGGAGAGGTAAGTGGGATTGGTATGTAAAATAAGATTGTTTTAAGTTAAATAAAATTAATATAGAAATATAAAACAATAATGCTGAAAAAGAAATATAAATGTCTGAAAACCTAAAAAAGAGAGATAGAAGAACTACCTAGTAACTCTGACAGTTTAGAAACTAACATACAAGAAAACCTTTGAATGAAAAGTAAGTTGGTATTTTAGGTGGGAAAGTTACTGATGACATAGAAATGGCAAGATATTTAGTTACTAATACTCTTGAGCAGTTTCACCCAAAGCTGTAACAACACAACACTTCCTAATTGATAGCACAAGAACAGATTCCAGGTTGTCTATCAAAGGTGGCCCACTGTGGTCTTCTCAGAAACTTGTCTTTTAAAAACACCACAACAACTTAGTTATCCTTAAGAGGTACCTTAAGAGATTCTTTGGCTTCTTGGTTAGTTAATTTTTTGGACGTTGTTGGAATTGCTCAGTTGGAGTGCACAGATGGACCCCATCCTCAAGTGCTATTTGTGCTGTATTAAGGATCTCAGGGAAAGGCACTGGGTTTCTCTGACATCCTGTCCAAAGCAAAGCCCTTTCTGTCCATATATATTAAATTCAGAATGAGGTTTTTTGAAGAAAACAACACTATCCCCTCTAAATAGTTTCTCCTTTAAGCACTTACCAAATGTTTTAGGCAATGAAAAGAAACCATGAACATTAAGGATCTCAAAGGGATGTTTGCCTTTCAGTGACTGATCTAAATTGGGGCCATTTAATTCTTCTTCTGTCCATGTTTCTGAATGGGATATCAGAAAGTATAGACAGTAAAACATACGTACAAAAAGTTTTTAAAAGTAATGATGATTACCTTTGGGCTGGGAGATATTTTTGGTAAACATTTATCCATGGCATACAGAAATATCCATGAACATCATTTAATGGGAAAATGAAGGGCTTTCAGGTGCTTGTAAATTTTCACTCCCAAATAGTGTTCTAAAAGCACTGTTTATTTTATTTCTCTTATATTTTCAACTATGTCCATTAACACTTCCAAAAGAGGCAAATAAGTTATATCAATTTCAAATTAATTATCTGTAAGTTACCTATGGAATACAGTATAAACATAAATTTGATTAGATGAAATTTACAGATTTGTGGTATAAAACGGTCAAAAGAATAAAGATTTAGTGGCAATATTATTCCTGGTAGGAGAATGATATTCCTAACTGAGTGATACATTCTTTGAGCATTTTCAGGTAAAAATAACAAAGTTAAAGGAAAGAAACTAGCTAATTCTCTTGGTAATTGATGTTCAAATCTATTCAAGTCAGAGGACAGTTGATGAAATTTAAAAGTTTCTTTTCAGAAGTTTTGGGCAAGCTATTATTATATGATTATGTCTTAAAAACAGAAATAATGAAGATAGGACAAAAATCAGCACAGTATCATAGATACAAACAAATAAGAGACTCCTTCCCAAATGTTGACTGTGGTACTTGGGAGGTCTCTTAACTTCCAGGGAACAGACTCAAAAGCACAGTTCAAGAACTTGGGAGTCTTCCGGTGTGTATTACCTTCATATTCAGGAATGTTGTCATTACAAAATAATACCACTTCATTTTACTCTGTCGCAGGATACTTAATTATCACTCACATGGCATTTAGTTTGTGATAATTTTTGGTAGTTTCTAAAAACCTACCTTCAAAAGATAAAATTTTGCCATTTTGGAAGGCACTGAAAAAAATCAAATGGAACGGAAGTTTAAAAAAAAACTAATGAAGAAGCTCAAAATAGCAGAGCAAAGTGAGAATAAGTGCTTAGCTCTCATAAGTGGTCTTCTGGAAGGAAAAATTTCTGAGAAATTTGAGTTCTGGCATGTCCAGTACCCTTTACTATACTGTGTAGGCCGTTAAGACCCAGGTGAATCCTGAACCCATCAGCTCATGGTTCATGCTTGATTATGGAATCTGTAAAGAATGCCAATATCTAAACTTCTTTAAAAGTTACTTACATATCAGACAGCAAACTGGTCCTCTACTAGGAATGAGCACTGACTGACATCTGTTTTGTACAAGGCCCATACTTACCACTAGCCAGCATTTGAAATGTGCATTTTTATCTCAGGTTATTGTATATGTAGCCTGAGTATCTAAGAAGCACACAGTACATATTATGAACTAATAATGTGGCCAAGGCAGAGAGCAAAATGAGGAAAGAAGAGTAGCAAGCCTCTGGGCCTCATTCTTGGGGAGCTGGGCAGACAGTACAAGGCAGGGAGGAAGATACACAATGGATAGACCCCGAAGCCAGGGTAGGACTGTTATCCCTAGATATGAGGAGCTGCAGTAAGTGGAGGTCCTTCCTAGAAGTGACACTGGAAGTAGGGACTAAGAAACAAGAGCATGAGCTCCTCTGTTTAGAGAACATGGGCTGAGGTAACTGCAATTGGCAGGCCCAGAGACAAGCATGCACCTGATATGCATGGGAAACAAGCGATGAGGTTACCCATTAGGCAGGATCTAGGAGGGGAATACTCTGTCCTTGTGAACCAGTGGATATGCCTCAGAAGTTAGAACCAGAGGTGGCAGCTCCCATATACGTAGGAAGAGGAGAACAGAGGTCTAAAGACTAAGCTGTAGCCATTTCAGTCACTAGAGAACTGTGCTGAGTCTAGGAACCAATTATTATAAGATAAAGAAAGTCCTTTGGTGAGGGAGTCCCAGGAGCCAAGTGTGACTGGTGAGTGACTGGTCATGGATGAGAACATGGTCACAGTATCTGCTGTCTGTCAGGCAGGAACAAGGGTCAAAAATCTACCTCCAGACTGGAGGTGAGAGGGCTGTAGGGAGCTTCACAAGAACCGCGTTTTGGGTTTAGCTGTAAGAATGGAAAAGATTCAGGAGGAAAACAGAGTGGTGTACTACTGAAAACTTCCTGAGGAGTTCAGTTCTAAGAACAAGAAGGGACAAGAGGCTTCATTTAGAAGCTGATGGGGTGGGGGCATTAACAGAAAGACTATATTTATGTAGAAGTTTACAGAAGGCTACTCTTTTCTAGAAACTCTAGTTGACACCTGTCCATGTATTTGTGATTCATTCTACATTTTCCTGATGGCAAATTATTTCCATAATGTTATTCCTTCTATTGCCCCTTTCTTCCTCCTTCCCATTGCTAAGCAATACTTCTTGCCTCCAGGATTGTTTGTATTCTATTTCATTTTTAAGTAATTGTCATATTTATGGGGCTGCTATGACATATATTTTATATGTCTCCCAGATGCCATGTCATGTGTTGAAGGCCCTGAAACCAGGCTGTGCTAGGATTTAGAGGTGACAAACCTCAAGCAATGTGGCCTAGTGGGAGGTGACTGTAGTCGTGCCCCAAAGGGGATATTAGGATTCTTCTTCTTGTTCCAAAACACAATGGTGTTAGTAGTTTCTTCCATTATATACTCTTGCCATAATGTTTTGCTTCACCACAGACCAAAATGCAATGGATAAAAGTGGCCTTGGATTGAAACCTCCAAATCTATAAGCCATAATAAACCTTCTCCTTCTTATAAATTGATGACCTCTGGTGTTTTGCATCAGTGACAGAAAGCTGAGTACCACAGGGATAAACTGAGATTGTCTGACTTATGTATACTTTGTGTTAATGGTTGAATCTGGGTAATTGCTCATTGGATTCTTCTGAGTTAAAAAAAAAATACCGAGAGGAATGGGAGCCATTTCTTCCCAAGTCATAATTTTCAGAGTAATTACAAGGTTAGCTGACTCGCTGAAGTCAGGACTTAGACACTGTGGGTCAAGATATCTCTAGCTGAGAATCTGTGATCAAAGAGCATGCCTCTCTGTCTTACTTGTAAGAAACAGAGGCACCACCTCTTGATGCATGCTTTTAGAAGCTTCCTTAATGCAGTGCAGAGGACTAGGTATACAATGACTAGTTGAGATGTCACTCACAGTTGTAAATTTGCCTCCAAATTGCAGAATCTTTTAGCATAAGGCAGCTGAGCACCACTTACGTGATTAGCTCTTTCTTGAGATCCCTTGAATGGAGCTTGGGCTTTGGGCTTGGAATAGAGGCCTCTCCGGCAAACTTTTTTTCTTCTAAATTTTCTAAGGAGTTCACAGGGTCTTTCTGAAAAACAAATAACAGCCAAAACCAAACGAAGGTGAGTAGGGGGAGAAAGGGAGATGACATTAGGGAACCATGAAAAGACAACTGGATTTGAAATTACTGGCATCAACAGAGTTTGGCTTGAAGACATATCTTGAGTCCTACAGAGGATTTGTACTTAGAATAAAAAGATAATGAATAAAAGGACATGTCCAGACTGTTAGAGTCCTTTATCCAAAGAGTTGGGGATTATAACTGAGAAGTAACACCTTTTAAATGTTCATATCTTTGCTGATATGGAGACATTTCTTGAACTATATACTTGTTAATATATTAGTATGTTTCAAGTCTTTCCATTAAATAAACATGTCTGAATGAACCCATGAATCATTGTTTTCATGTCCAGCTGTCACAGCAGCAGCAGCAGCACAGAAGGAACACTGTGTCATAGTAAGAGCACTGCTACAACTACCTCAGTGTGGTGTTATTTTATGTCCAATCAACAGGCGCCAGCATGGTACAATACCATCCTTTATAATGTTTGTGCTGCTAAGTATTCTATGTTATTTTACGGATTAAAAATTAACATACCAAAATGTGCTGGAAGGTAAATGTGCATAATGTCTAAGCTGCAAAGAAGGGCTTTTCAAAGCCCCCTTTGTCCCCAGTAACTTGTGGCAAGGTAGGTGAGCGAAGTTTGTTTTAAAGTTTTACTATGAAAATGGCTAAAGTAGAAGGATTCATGATACTGGAGCCTTCCACCTGCCCACTCTGTCGTTCATTTTAATGTGGGCTTGGCTTATGAGCAGTCCCATTCTAGTTTAGAAATGTCTTGGCTTTTAGAAAGTTAATATGAAAGCTAAATTCACTATGTCTCAGTGTGGAAGAGCCTGCTTTGCTACTTAGATCTGTATTTTTCTCAAAGTGGCATGAAGTAAGATAATCATTTTATTGTTTGTTTTGAGATTGGGAGCAGTTTCTACAAGAAGTTATGTCCATTTACAGGCAAGCATGCGAAAGTTTCTGGTTGATGGTTAAATCTGTGTATTATGGAGAAATTTTTAAAGGAAATGATTATTAAAGTTCAAAGTGTTATACAGCTGAAATGCACACAAAACAGTTTTGACTAGATACGTGTTATTTCATTGGCATGAGAAGTAGTGTAAAGGGTTTTTTACAAGAAGTTTTTATTGGTGAGGACCTTTTAAATATTTCATAACTTTTTAAACTATAGACTCTTGTGCTCATAAATCAGTTGTATTTTCAGCTTTTGCTTTGCCTTAGCATTCTACTCTGCAGACCTGCAGAGAATATACACATATGTGGCCACAGCTGAAAGAATTTTCAGGATTAGTTCTGTTATAGAAACATACTGTACTGGATACATTTTTAAATAGCACCCAGTGTAGGCTTCAATATTTTTGAGACTGTTACTTAACACCTTAAAAAGTACAGTTTTGAAAAATAGCAATTTTGTTCTGTGCAAGATGTACAATAAAGGCATGTATGTGTGTATTTAGAGAGTACACATGTGCAACCAGATTCTTCCATGTACAGATGGAAGGTTACATTGATTTCAGTAAAGACCAGAACATAATGGTAACATGAATAACAGATAATAGCATCTGGCACTTTTAAAATCTGAGGCCCTGAAATCTTTGGATGACTGACAGTTGAACGAAGCTGACAGCCCTAGTTATTTCTCAGTACTTTCCTTTTGAGATATTTTGAACTTTTTCCAGATTCAGGATATTTTTTAGGGGGCATCTGGACAGGCTATTTCGCTGAGAGAGATAGACAATATTTTCTGAAAATTACCACCAAAATTAAGCAACTGTTGTGCATATGAACTAGATAACAATGAATTAGAAATAATCACTCAATTTCTGGTGGTGTGAGTGCTGTGAGGAAGGGGCAAATGGGAAGGAATGCTTTCAGGTCTTCAAACATTCATGATAAACTGATGGTGTACCCAGTGTCCTTAAGTAATCATAGCATAGGGACCTTACTCCTTCATCACATACTGAAGGTTTGCCAGGGGATCAGACTTTGGTCCTCATCTTTGGACTAGGCAATGACAGTTTCCACACACCTTGTCCATATATTCTTCCTATTTCTCTTCCATTTCTTCTTTCTCTACATTTTATTTTCACTTTTGAAGCTTTTCCTAATATTTGTTAGAACTCTCTATTGTGATTTAATTTTTTATACATTTCTCCCACTTTGCCTTTGCTTTGTCTTCAGTAATTCCAAGATAATCACTTAATTTCTGTAACACAAGAACCAACAATTCTACATTCTTGCTAATCGATTTTCTTCTCTGGATACGTTACTAAACCTGTGTCACAGTACAGTGGGGATACTGAGACAATGGTACAGAAGGAATAGGACTGTTGTGATACTGAGACACGGTATAGAAGGAGCTGGACTGTTGAGATAATGAGACAATGGTACAGAAGGAACAGGACTGTTGAAATAATGAGACATGGTATAGAAGGAACACGACTGTTGTGATACTGAGACATGATACAGAAGGAACTGATGGGACAATAAGACTCGGTATAGAAGGAAAAGAACTGTTAGGATAACGAGACACGGTATAGAAGGAGCTGGACTGTTGACATAATGAGACACAGGACAGAAGGAATAGGACTGTTGGGATAATGAGACACAGTATAGAAGGAACAGGATGCTTGTGATATTGAGACGTGGTACAGAAGGAACAGAACTGTTGGGATACTGAGACACGGTATAGAAAGAGCTGGACTGTTGGGACCTGAGACATGGTACAGAAGGAACAGGACTGTTCAGATAATGAGACATGGCATAGAAGGAGTTATTGTGTTGTTTTTTTCTGCATGTGGTATTCCTCTGATGTCTTCTAAACAAGAATTCTGAATATAAGTTATTAATTTAATCAAAGTTACTTTTCAAAATGGTTTCTATCAAACCTCAGACTTTTATCATTGAGATTCAGAAGAGTATGTGAAAAATACTCTCTGTTCATAAGACTACCTTGGTACAGATGAAGGAACAAAGAACAAAGAAATTTTACCAGGGAGTTTCAATGATTGAACATCACTTTTATGTGAGCCCCCGCCAACTATGAACAGTTATGAAAGAAGTGTTTCACTCACTCAGAGTAAGCACTGGTGAGTCCACAAGCACTTAGCATCTCCCCAGTCCTCCTGAACTCTTGTCAGTGGCACTGAATTCCAATATAGATTCTAAATTTCAATTCACAATACTTCAGTTGAAAACTGTAGATTAAGACTGCCCTGTCAGACCTGAAGTCATTCTGAAAACAAGTTTAAAGAACCGCCTATTCTCCCCTTTTCTTTCTCTCTTGGTGTATGTGTGTATGTGTGTGTGTGTACAGAGAAAGAAATACTGTCACAAATATATGTTGAAGTAGGGAAAAACATAAAACGTTTGAATCTATACAACTACCAAGATGAACCCAAATGTTTCCTTTTTTCTAATTTTATAAAGAAAAAGATTGGAGGTAAAGATAAGTTGTTGTTAGGAGTCTCATTTTCTGACACACTGGGCTCTGAGAAGGAGAGACAAGAAGGCAGTGGGAGAAGTTAGAAGACACAATAGTGATAGCCAAACTACCTGGATCATACCCAAAGGCTCATTGCTACATGTCTCCACAGGCTCACATTCTCCTGGCTGAAACTGAGCACCAAGATTCTAGGAAGGTTTCTGGTACATAAACTGACCAAGGTTTGGTCAATACAATCATGACATGTCATGTCATATCATGCCATGTCATGTCAATACAGTCAAGAACGGAATATTTAAAGCCTTTCATGACATGGCATTGAACTATCAGAACACTCCGGGATTCTTATTTCATACAAGAATGAGATGCAGGGATAGCTACTCTGTAAAGTACCACTTTTCTCAAAACAGAATGATTTCTATTTAGCCTGCATCATCTCCCTGTACCTGGCCTGCTGCCTCCTCAACTCCACTTTGGCTCTTCCATGTGAACTCAGTATGGCAGTGGGAGAAGTTTGTAGTCATTACTCCAGACCAATAAACTACCCATGACACTAAAACTATGTGGAGCATATCAGATATTTGAGTTAGGGATATTTAACTGATAGTCTATGTAAAGATCTGAAAAATTCCAATAGGGTGCAGTAGCATTAGTCCAACTGAAGGCTCCTGCTGCACAGGCCCATTGGTCCTCCAGGCAGTGGTGCGAATTGATGTGGATGATACAAGGAGTCCTAGGGTCAGAGTTTCATTCAGATTGGTGTCTTTGATCACCATAGTGGGTACCTGCTTGTGTTACTTTCATTTGCTTATTAAGAAAGGCTCTCACTATGTAGACTACGCTGACCTGTAACTCACTTTTCTTGCCTCAGTTTACTGAGTGCTAGAATTACAGAATTACGGGTATGTGCCTCATACTGCTATGAGCAGGCCTGAAGCTAGGGAACACGATGGTGGAGATGAAGCCTCCCTCACTGCCTAACCTTTGAGATGCCAGAGGAAATATGTAGAAGGAGGCAAGGAGGGAGAAGGGAGAAAGGAAAGGAAAGCCTTCAAACCTGTGGTCACTTACTACAGATGTTGTCTCACTCCCAAGAGAGTAAATGAAAACCAAATTGCTTCCCCATCTCTGAAACACAAATAGCTGAGCAAGATCGTACATATTTCCACAGCACATAGATATGTCAGTCCTCTACACACACCACCTGGAAGGCCTCTCAATGACATTTCTGATTACTATCACAATGGGGTACCTATGTAGTTATTTGGGACCTAAGCATCTGCTCAGGCTATGTCAATGGTGTACTCTCCAGAAATAAGGAGGGTCAGATGCTTCCTACCCTGTTAGAAACATTGGCCCTTTTTAAAGATAACCAAATGTACAAGTATGTCTCCTAGATTTAGAGACTAATTCCACTTAGATGTTCAGTTACTCACAAAACTCTCCACAGATATGCCCCATGTCTTGGGACGTCTAAGAGACCAAACATGTGGCTTTGACATGATTTCAAGATTCTTATTGTCCCTAGCTGGATTTCACCTTGACACCAATTCAAAGTGTGTTACTGAGTTGACCTTTTGGTGTTGAGTAATGCATTGCTCCTTACAGGCTACTGTGAGGACAACTGCCACTATTGTGTGAATAACACTCACTACGTTGTTGCTATTTTAATCAAATGTCCTGAAAAGTTGAATTCTTTAATAAATTTCATCTGAAATTTAAGAGCATTACTTTATCATGATCTAAAACAAGTCACAAGGGCTGAGGAGTTGGTTCTCGCTGCTCTTGAAGAGGACCCAGGTTCAGTTCACAGCCCCACATGGTAGCTCACAATCATCTATAAATCGTGTTTGATAGGACATGATCCCCTTCTATTACCTTCATAAGCACCAGGCATGCATGTGGAATGCATAAATAAATGCAGGAAAATCATTCATATAGATAAAAATAAAATGGAAAATCTAAAATAAGACAGGAATGCAAAAGACAACTTAGAGAGGAAGTCTAGTTAACAGACGCATTGACAGAAAACTTAGGGAGGAAGTCTAGTTAACAGACGCATTGGCACAATACCTCTTTCTCCTCCTCTGTCTTTCCATGGGTTTTACTATAGTTGATGGGCACATCCCAGCCTTCTTGGTCACAAAGAGCCTGGTAGAAGGCAGCATTTACCAGAAGGCTGCTTGCTTTGAATGGGGAAGAAGATGGTGTTGTAACTGTAGTGTGAGAGGAAGTTGGGGGTATAGACTTGTCCAGGATTCTATTTTTTTTCATGCTTAAGTCCAATGTGCCATTTTCATCCACTTCTATCTCAGCTCCCTGATAGAGAACAGAAACAGAAAACATCTCAGCAGTTTGCAGTTAGAGCCTAGCCATGTGGGGCTTTTAAGGGATAATTTAAAATGTAAGCTTTTATGGAAGTATATCTGCTTGTAAATCCAGCTTTCTGATTTGCATTGGGTAACATTCAATTCTTAGGCAGACTTTAAAGAACAGCCCATTAATGTGCTTCATATTTCTGGGTTTAAACAAAGTAAGCTTAATATAAATGAGAGGTATTGGCTAAAACAATTTTACATACTTGTATATTTTTAAAGGTTCAAAAGTCTTTTCTACCCATTGGAAGTATCACTCCAAACTTACCATTTTAACATTTATGTTTGATTTAGCAAAAATGATGTTTAACTTCCCAACTCCATGAATCATAAGGTTAATCTAACATTATAAATATTCAAACAAAATCAGCTAAAAGAGAATATTCCAGGAGTAGCAAAGCAACATGCACCTTAGACCACCTGAACTGGAGAAGTGTATTGGCTGATTGTGTATCAACCTGAGAAAGTTAGAGTCATTATAGAAGGAGCCTCTGTGAGAAAATGCCTCCAGCAGGAAGACATTTTCTCAACTAGTGACCAATGCGGGAGGGTCCAGTCCATGGTGGGTGGTGCCATCCCTGGGCTGTTAGTCCTGGGTTCTTTAAGAAATCAGACTGAGTAAGTCATGTAAAGCAAGACAGGAAGCAGCGCCCCTCCATGGCCTCTGCATCAGCTCTTGCCTCTAGGGTCCTGCCCTGTTTTGAGTCTCTGTCCCGACAGCCTTCAGTAACAAATAGCAATGTGGAAGTGTAAGCCAAGTAAACCCTTTCCTCCCCAACTTGCTTTTTCCTCATGGTGTTTCTCGTTGCAGCAACAGAAATCCCAACTAAAACAATAGGATTTGTTAAATTGCAGTGAGTGGGAAGGGAAAAGGGCTCTGTGCAAACCGACTGCACTCTGGGGACTCAGAGCTTCAGTTCTATATGAAGATTTAGGATGACGGTGTTTGTTTTCTATTGTTTCATGTGAGACTTAAGAGAAGAGGCTTTCCAGGCCCACCCCCTTTGGGACCTTTGACCCTGCTCTCATTGTTTCTTAGGAGTAGCCCCTCTGTTTGGGCAGTCGCCACAGGGACCACTTCTGTGGTCTGCTTCTTCAAAATTTGCACTGCAGGTGCTTTTGTTAACATTACCAGAACTTGGCGAAGCTGGGAAAACATGTCTATTGACTCTCCAAATGAAACAAGTAGCCATGCTGTCATTTCCACATCATCCATCAATTTACAGTTAACTTCTGGACAAGTTCTTGACTTTTCCTTTTTAGTTGGCAAATGAGACATATTTTTGAGTATCTTAGCACAATCCTTAGCTCCTGCAGTCACCAGATACTGCTCAGGCCATAGGCTTTAACACCCTTGTCATGTCCCTCTTCTCAGCGGCCACACAGGCTGGGACCACTGCTAGTGCTTGATTGAGAGATGAAAGTCCCTCTTCTCTTTGTTTGTTTTACCTGCATAGTTCCTATCTAGTCTCTCAGCCCGTAAGCATTTGCGGGAGGTAAATACACTTCTAATACGGCAGGCTAAGATGCTTTGGCCGTATCTTTCTGTCCCTTTTTAGTAAATAGTTTAATCTCCTGTGATAGTTTTAAGCCCTGAATTTGACATTACAGCTTATCCAGGATAATAACATAGTAACCACAGCATCTTATGCCATCTGTATAATATCAAGTACATTTTTATACCAGCATTAATAAACCTCTGTTACAAAAAAATCCAAGATATTAACCATATCAGTGCCACCAGCCCCCCTTATAACATGAGCTCACAGTACATTCTGCCAGTCAGGCTTCAAAGCAATTTTTTGCTTTGTAGCTGATGTGTAACTATAGCAATGAAACAGAGCAATAGTAATCAAGTTTAATGGCCAACGTAAAGTAAAATGCTAAATATTGTAGTTGCTGACATTTTTCATAAAAAAATAAAAAAACTTGGGTTAAAGCTGCAAACCAACATTCACATAAAATTCCAGACCTCTGTGACAGATGGCTTAGGAAAAAGAAGCCATGTGACTGGGCTGCAGTGTTTTATAGTGCAAAACCCATAAATAGTGCAGATTTAAGCTTTGAAAAATACCAACTATTCCAAGAATAGTCTCATATGTATGTATATACAAATATTAGTTTTTAGAGAAGTACTTCAAATACCGTTTAAAATTTAGAGATTCTAGGACCCATCATAGTTATTTGTGTTAAGTAATTGGAGTTGATTAGAAAAATCTTACTCCTAATGTTTGAAAGAGATATCTGAGCTTGCTGCTGCTCAGGGCACCTGACTTGGGGAAAGGGGATGTCATGTGCTGGGGATAGGATACAGATGGGCTTTAAGTAAGTGCGCAGATGCATCCAACAATTACACTGCAGCAGGAAAGTCCTTTTCTACCCTTGATGGGGGATCACACATTCGCAGCATGGGTTTTTATTCAGCACACCACCAGGCATCATCTTTCTGTGCTCTGAACTCCAAATGTCAGCACAGAAATCTGTGTGGTGGGAGAGGCTGGTGGAGAGGCGGGGCCAGATCGGCAGCTCAGGTAGGGCTTCCTTTTCACACCTTCTAACACTTAGATTTCTGAAGTGCTATTTGGGATCTTCATTTCAGGACCTTGTACTTAAAGTCTCCCTGGGCTGGCTATACACCTTTCAGCTTAGCAGGGACAATGTAAGCCATCTACTGATGCCGCCTTTGAGCTGCTGACCTTCTGCTATGGCTGTATTCATTGCATTCCGGAGAGCATGCACAGTGTGGTCATAACACTACAGTGCAGAGCAAAGAGAGCTTGAAAAACAGATTGCTCTGGCTTTCAAGGGCATGCTTTATGGATAATGACTTCTGGTGAAAGATACCAAGTTTATTATCAATGACAGTGAACCTGAAAGTTTACAGACCTACTGACTGTAATAATAATCTCTCCTAGAAGGTGAGCAGTGACCTAGATGTTCAACAGCAGAGATGTGATTAGTAACAGCACCTCCGTTAACTAGAACATGACCTGGTCAGAGAGACAGTAATAAGAGGACCAAAGGGCAGGTTAGAAAATCTTATACCACAGAAGACAGAAAGCACCCTCTCTCTTCTTATTCAGCAACAACTAATTGCTGCCATTGCAAAGATGATAAACATGTGAACTATGTTTATAACACAGACTTATGCTATGCAGAGAAGAAGTGACTAACCCAAGGTGTGAAATTTAGAGATACTTCCCCAAATTTCTAGATCTTTTTCAGGCAAAGCAGATATTTTGTATTTGAAATCATGCTCTACCAAGCTTGTGGTTTGACAGGGTATGAGCCATGAAGCATTTTAGAAAATAACTAAGGCTATGTGTGAATTCAAATTTCATTTTCAGCAATTACAGTCATGCTACTCACAACAAATTACTCAATATTTCTGTACCACTGTTTCTTCCATTGAAAAATGGAAAAATTACTATACATATTATAGTCTTTAGGAGGACTTAAAGGGATTCACATGGTCAGAGAGTTTATGGACAGTATGTAGCACATAGTAGGTATTCTATAAATCACAATCCCCAAAGAGACATAGCCCTCAGCTACTGGTCACGGGACTAGAGAGTCAATATTTCCTTTATTTACTTGTCTTGAGGCAGGAGCTTGCTACATAGCATAGGATGGCCTAAAGTACATGACACCCTGTCTCAGCCTGTCTGTTACTGAGGTTACAGGCTGAAATCACCATGCCCAACAAGGAGCTAGTTGTCAAATATCCAGCTACAATACACTTATGCACTCAGTTCTTTATGATCCCTGTTTCGAGACCCTCATCATCTTTCACTCACAATGTGAGGTACAATGTGTTCAGATGTTAAAATATGTTTTTGGTTCTAACCACCCAGGGGCCATCGGGGCTTTCCTGTGAGCATGCAGCACTAATGGCATGCTGTTTCTAAGCCTTGTGCAAGCAAAAACAGACTTTGAACTTTAAACACTTCAAGTAAGTGTCAAATTTTTGTTTTCTTTTAAGGAACTGTGCATATGTCATTTTGTCTAAACAGGTGGGGAAAACACCAAAACAAATAACAGAATGCTTGGCAAGCAGCAGTGAGGAGGATAAAGATAGACTAGGAGCATGTTCTACCTCTGTGCATTAGAACAGGAGGAGGGAAAGTGGGGTATATCCACTACAGGCTGGCATAGCTCTCAGGGACACTGGCCCAAAGTGACTAGCAAACCCGGGGTGCTTGTTCTCTGTCCATCTACATTCAGGGCTCTACTCCTATCTAGAGTCACAATGGTTGGGAAAAAGCACCTTAAGGTATGTGACACTAACCAATTTATGTTTCACCATTTATATTTAAAAATAAAGATGGAGGACACTCTTCATATCTTAGAACCAAGAACAGTAGTGGAATAAAAAGAAAAATAGTATTTCAGACAAAATCTTTATGATGCTCTTTTATACTTTAACTTTTATGATGTTCACTAAGAACTAAATGTACAAATTATTCTCTCCTTTCTTAATTTCTTAAACTGTATTAAAGAGACCTGGTAGTATTAATACATTATTCAGATCTAAGATGATTTTTAACACAAATAGTTACTCCTAATATTTAAAATGCAGCAAGCTCTGGTCTGGAAAAAGACCAGTCATGTTAGATATAGCCTGATGTTCTTGGCACATATATGGTATAGAGTTGGTATGTAGGGAACACAATTTGATTAAATTGACAGTAGTGTGAATAGCAGTGTTGATTATCTATGTCATCTATGATAGTCTGAATAGAAATGATCCATGTAGATTAATAGGGAGGTGTGGCCTTGTTGGAGTAGATGTGGCCTTGATGGAGCAAAACGTGTCACTGAGGGAGGGGTGTGCTTTGAGGTTTCAGAATCTCAAGCCAGGCCCAGTGTCTTACTTTTCCTGCTGCCTGAGGACCCAGGTGTAGAACTATCAGCTACTTCTCTAGCACCATGTCTGCCTGCATGCTGCCATGCTTCTAACCATGATGACAATGGACTAAACCACTGAACTATAAACCAGCTCCATTTAAATGTTTTCCTTTATAAGAGTTGCTGTGGTCATGGTGTCTCTTCACAGCAACAGAAACCTTAACATCATCCTTCTTGTGTTTGTATTTATGTAGGGACACAGAGTTTCCTTGCCCTCTGAAAACATTCTGAGTGTCATGCAGATCACTAATTCTGAACCTTACTTAGTGTAGAGTGAGTTGTGTCCTTGCGGAAAAATATGTATGTGTTTGAGGTGGTGTTTCAGCACTTTTAAGGATTTTAGGCTTTGGCCCACAGGTCACAGTGAATGTGCTTTTTAATTAATTCTCTGATTGGTGCTGTAAGCAGCCAAAGAGATGCTTAGCACAAATGTTTCTGGATGGGAACAAGGGGAAAGGAAGAAACCAGCCATCTCCGGTTCAGATGGAAGGCACTGTGAGGCCACCTGTGCATGCCCCAGCCTCCACACGCCCACCTCTACCTCAGATGTCCAAGGGTGACGAATTCTTTCCTTCTGCTTATCTGTAAGCTCCTTAAATCCAGAGTCTGAAGCTCAGTCTAAAGCAGTGGTTCCCAACCTCCCCTAATGCTGTGACCCTTTAATATAGTCTCATGTTTTGGTGACCCCCAATCATAAAATTATTTTCGTTGCTACTTTATAACTGCAATTTTGCTACTGTTATGAATTGCAATGTAAATATTGGTGTTTTGTGATGGTCTTAGGCAACACCTGTGAAAAGGATTTCTGTCTCCAAAGCTTTTGTAACCTCTAGGTTGAGAACCACTAGTCTAACCAGTGGTCAGGGCAAAACCAGTTCTTAAATTCCACTTGCCACTGTGATTCATATACTGATACAACTAGAATATAAGAATATCAGTTTTTCTGCATTTGTTTCTAAATATGAAGCATAGGAGATCTTATGGATGTAAACTTTCATAAATAAAGGCACAAAAACCTATGATGGAGAGAAAAATTCAAATCTAGTGGAGGAAGAATTAGGCTGGCATGCAATGCTAAGGGGAAGATGGCATCCAATTGCATCTTTGTTGGCCACAGCAAAGCCACACACTCAGCACGCTTTGCTTAGATGGAGGTCTGAAGAGTTAATTAACCTGTTTTTGTTTGGTTTCTAAAAGAGTTGTTTCAGCAAATTTATGAGAAACAGTTCTATATTCAGAACACTAATGAAGACAGAGTTCTACAGTTGGTATAGTTGTGTGGGAATGTGAGTAGCCAGCTATGTGGTTCAACAGTCCTGGCCACAGTGATGCTGGGGGAGCCATATTTATCCTATCCTATCTAACCAGTCTATGAGGGAGTACTTCTGATATGAAAAAATTTTTAAGATCTCTGGCATAAGTCACTCCTTTCTCAAGCTGATCTAAGCCCTTTCTATGTCCACTGTCCTGTCATCAGTGGAGAGTGGGAAGTGCTGAGTTGGATAGGACATTATCTTGAGAATGCCAGGTCTGCTGCATACAGCCTTGCTGACACAAGGAGTGGACAAACAGACATTAGAATAGGATTATTTGGCTTTTGGAAATGTGGCATTTGAACAGGTGTTTTTTCTAGTTAGAACTGTGTTTCTAAAAGAGAGCAGACTGACAAGAAAACACCTGTCATTTGTTTGACACCAGCAATTTAACGGAACCTGAAGACTATAGGTAAACGGAGCACTCTGGGAGCAGGGAAACATGTACATGTGCAAATGGACAGCATTTGTCCTAGTAGTGTCAGTCAGCTGCTTCTCCTCAAATACCCGTGATGGCGGACCCCATTTTCTATAAGATAGTGATGAAATCAGGCAGCAGGCACTAGGAAGGAGACACTGAAGCATTTCTGGAACCAGGTACCTCTATAATATTCTTAAAAATGAAAAATAAATCAGATCTTAAAATGCCAATTTGAAAGTACAGTTGTATTTTAAAAACCCTCAAATGCCTCTCCTGTGTCAGTAATTTTGACTAGCATTGTGAATTCAGAGACTTGGGTATTTTTTTCCGTATAGTCAGAGGATATATTTTTTCTTTGTTTAAGAACCTCATTTGTTTAAAGATTGTTTTGAGTGGGTTTTGGCAACCACCTCTTCCTGTGGTTTACTTGGCTTGGCTTCTTCCAGAAGCTAATTTCGATTCTTCTGTCAAATGCTTGGTGGCACTGTGCTACCTGCTCTCCTGAAGGCCTGGCACAGCACAGGCAAGCAGCTGACCACACAAGGACAGGTCTGTCCTTAAAGGGAAATGTCTCAGCTTGCAGTGCACAGACTTCAGGGTCTGGGAGTCACTCAGGAAATCTTTTATTTTAAGCAAGGGTAAAATCTGTGATGGAGAATGTGTGGGTGCTGTATGTTGGCTGGCTTCTAGTCATCTAGGTACATAGTAAGTTTTTTAAGTGAGGTTGTCTGTGTACACTGAAGCACTGAGCCCTTCCAGCCTCCCCTGTGATCTACAACATGCAGGGCCTTTGTACATTCATTAAGTCATCTAAATGCGAACGTGTATTTCCCACAGTTAGGAAAGAAAGGCTGTGGAAAATATGATTAATCTCTTAGGAAATGTACTGTGTTCACCAAGGTCCTAGAATTTGATTGCAGATTGAACATTAGAGCCTCTAGTCTCCTCAGCCTGCTGACTCACTGGACTGTGGGTCTCATGGGAACACTACAACCTAGATGTCTCATGGTATGCAGTGGTGAACACGTACAACATAAGTTTGCGGTCAGTTTCAACAATCTTGTACTAGCCACTGTTCCTAAATGGCTCTGATCTGCAGACGGCGAACAGCTTCCACAGCAGAGATGCATTTTAACAGGAACTCTCTTTCCTTGTTCACCAAATGTCTCCAAACAGAAAAAGTGATGAGATTATCCTCAACTACCCTCATAAGTCACTGCTCTCCAGTGACTACTAGACCTCCAAGATAAGCACACGTTCCTTGCTTGAACCCACTGAAAACTCCTCCCTGCTTGGGGAGGAAATAGGGGAAGTGAGTGGTTGCAGTGAGGGACATGAAAGGCGGTTGACTCTCAAGTCTCACTTGCTGGCCCACCTTCCATGCTCTTGGCCTGGCTTACCTTGGCATGCAGGCTCTGTGGTTTGTTGGAGAGGATGTCTGTGGCTTCCCTGCAGCGGGTGGAAAGGTTCAGGATGGCAGCAGCTGCTGCTATGTGGGTGTCTTCACTGCACTGACCATGGCCATAAGAGCTGGCACGGACTGTGCTCTGTGTGTGGGCGCCAGCACTAGGCAGCCCATTAGGAAATTTCACTGGATTTGAAAAATGCTTTGCTGTTGAAGAGAGATTTGATTAGCAATTGCATGTACTCGGTTTCAGTCATCAAAGATTTTTTAAGACAAAAACATCTTTCATTAAAATCCTGTAAAGCAGAACCATTATCTGTTGGTACTTTAAATGAAGGTTACCCAGGCAGGTTTTGCCAAGGTGCACAGAGCAGATGATGCGATTCTTTAAAGATGCCTGCCTCTTAAGAGTTCTTGTATTTTCTTTATAGGTGACAGAAATGTCATTACCAATGTTATAGGGCAGGTATATTTGCAACATGTATGCAAAATTGTAGATTAACAAAATGAGCAGCTCAGGACAGACATGTACACGTATTGAACAGGCTGGAGACAATGACTCTTGGGACCAGGCACTCTCAGGGACTGCTCTCACTGATGCTTCTGCATAGACACAGGATGTATTTTTATTACGTGGGACAAATGTTTGTTCTGTATTTAACAGGGAGAGAGGCGTCAGCAAGCTGAGCAGAGGACAGACGGCCTGTTCTCAAGGTGAAGAGAAAGGCCACTTAGTTACCAAGGCTGAATTTCTGTGTTTTGTTGTTGGCACCATAGCTTTTCTGAGGGACATGGTGATGCAGCTTTCTCTTCATTGTGGGCTGTTTGTGAGCACCATTCAAGGTCATGGGAGAAACAGCCTAGACATAAGTATATAAAAGCACCTAGCTGTTAGTTTTGGCTTAAATGATGCTTATTTTAAAGATTTACTTACTTGGTAAATAAATGATATTACTGAATATTATTCCTATAACTACAAGAATATAAAGATGTTACTAACTCTATTATGGTTTTTATAACTAATATCCAAACAATGTGAGTAGTGCAGTCTTCATCCACCTTCATGTAAATTAAGCATATATGCACATGTATACATTGTACATATATAATAAAATATTTAAACAAAATTGGGTTGCTAGATAAAAATCATTATGTGCATGCATTTTTTCTGACTGTAACAAGTTATCAATGGCTACTTGGGTTTGCTTGGTGCTGGGACCACTTTTTATTAAGAGTAGGCAGATTATTTTTTTGTAATTATGCAATGATGGATAACTGCTATCAAGTTTGCTGGCCATCTGGAGGGAAATAGGGGGAGAAAACCCAGACTTTGTATATCTAAGCACTGCTGTATCCATGGGATCCCATTGCCAGGTTTTAGGCAGCCTTCTAGGTTCCTACTAATGTGAGTCAACATGACATCATGAAGAAAACACTGGACTCACAAGATATTCATCCCATTCAGGGGTAATATCTGAAAGATTCTCAGATTTTGAAGGCTGTAATAAATGGATGGCTCACAGAGGACTTCGGTGGGTGTGTATATTTTATTGAAGGCATATTACCCACAATTTTTGGCATTTGTTCTCTATCTTTTTATTAGCATACTTAAAAGAAATGTAAAAACAAGACCACCAAGTCTTATACATTGCATAGCCATTCAGTTCAGTCTTCTCCATTGATGTGTCAGAATTACTGAGAATACTATTCAATCTATTTTAAGGGTTTCTATATTAATTAATCCTTAAAGTTATTTGATAATGTTTTGACAGTCATGTGTTTTTATTCTAGTAAATTTCAGATTCCTTAGTTACGTTTCTTGGATTTTTAAACTTTTCCTACCTTCAGTCTGATGGTTTTTGATGATTTCAGTGTTTTAAATAGTATTATATATTTCACCTCATTAGATTGCCATGATCACAACATGAATTAAAATAATATAATATAACAGCTGTCATAGCTTTCAATATATTAATCACAATCCTAATTATTTCTTTTAGCACTGCTATATTTAGATTCAGTAATGGCACTATCTGTGAAATAACGAATATCTTATAATATTCAGTGTAACTTGGCTATAATATTAGGAATAACGGTTAACTTATTTCATTATTCTTTTCTGCCATCTCTATGGAGCATGTGATGTATTTGAATATATAACCCCCCTCTATACAAGATGCATTTTAGGGTAATAACTGTTATGATTCAAATTTGAAGCTTACATTCAAGAAATGGTGGTGTTTTTTGTCCTTGGCCTGCTTGTAGGAAAGGACGTTTACCAAAAACTTGAGCATCAAAACTGGCATAATCAAATGGCACTTTCCCAAACTTCTCTTGTTCTTTTGATACAGTGGCTCTTGAAGAGGTGATGGCTTGTGAGCGGAAGTTAAATTCAATTTGCTTCACCAAATTCGTCCTGGTAAGAGGCAAGAAGTTTGAAGAAATAGAAACTGTTGTCAGGATTCAGAGTAGATGCCTGAATCTACTGCCTACCGGGCACAGAGACAATACCCAGCATTTAGGGAGGACCCACCCACAGCAAAGCAGATGCTCTGAGGTGCAGTGAGTAGGGGCTGGTTTGGGTTGAGTCTGGCTATGCTGTGACTCCACGTTCTGTGTACATTAACAGAGGGGTACTCAGTCCTTATGAAGAGGTATTAAATGTATTGTCATTAAGTATATTATGTATCAAATTGTCATTATTTCAAGATGTATCTAAATTACTACATTATTATACTAGTAAAGTTTTAATGTAATTGTTCCACTCTAAGTTTGAATTATATAGTCCTACAGATTTTTTGTGTCTGAACTAAACAGGAATGTAGCACCTGTGCAGCAAGTGCTGGCCAATCAAGGTAGAATTCTGCTCAGCTATGGTCTCTGTGTCAGAGACCACCAACAAATATACCTTTCAGGGTTTTCAGAATAAAAAATATTTCCTTTTATTATACAAGAAAATGAAAATGTAAAAAATGTTGATAATATCTTCTGGACTGCGTAAACTTCTCAAATGGTACATAAAACATATTTGAGGGATTCATGCTTTTGATACAGACCCAGGATCTCCCTAGTTTTTTCACCTTCTACTTCAAGGCCGTTTCTATTCTTCTTTGACTCTGCTGACCCACAGCTACCACACTAGGTTGGGATTCAGGCAGGTAACCTACATCTTCTTCTCTGTTCTCCATGACAGTCTCTCTGGACTTATCTTATTCCTGGTGTAGTCCCAACAGCCAACATCCATCCCCAGGGACTAAGCCCCTTGGTATGGGCCCGAAGTCCTCCTGGTTCTTCTGAACACCAAGGATTCCAGAGCCACCACACTTGATTCTGACACAGATTAAGCAATAGAAACCAAAGACTAAACACCCATTCCAAAAACCATGAGACCATATATCTACACAAAGAAACACCCGAGAGTTCTAACTCCAGATGCTTAGGTCCAAGCACAAAAACACAAACATGAATAACCATGATAATATGCCTCTTCAAGAAGACAGAAACCATGTTGTAATAGGTTCAAATAAATGCAAATTAGCTAAGGAATAAGACAAGGGCTTCAAAATAACAATTATAAATAGTTTAAAGACATTAACGAGGATATGAATAAATAAATGCCTTAATGAAGACTGTAATTGAATGAAAGCAATTTAAGCCATGAAAGTAACAACATGAAACAAAACAACAACAATAAAAAAGAATTACTCAAGGAAACTTAAACTACAATAACATTTGAAATGAAATACTTAAGATATTAAAACAAATCAAAACACCCCCTTTAGAGCTAATCCTCACCAACAGATTAAAAGCATGGAAAAGATAATTCCAGATCTTGATGACAAGGTAGGTAAGTAGGTATTTCAGTCTTTTAAACAATCTTAAAATCTTAAAAACAAACAAAAAACAGGCGCAGACATTCAGGCAATCCGAGAAACCACAAAAATACCAAGCACAGGAATAATGGGTATAGAGGAGGGAAAAGAAAACCAAGTAAAGCACAAACTAACAAAATCACACAATAAAATATCCCCAATATAAAGAAAGAGATGCCCATCAAAGTACAAGAAGCACAACAAACTCCAAAGAGATGGGATCAGAAAAGAAACGCCCACAACACATAGCAATCAAAGCACTAAGTGTATAGAATGTCTAAAGGATAATATAAGCTGCAAGGAGGAAAGATCAAGCAATATACAAAGGCAGATCTAGTAGAATATCATCTGACTTGTCAGTGGAGATTCTGAATGATAGAAGTGCCCGGACAAGTTCTCAGAAAGTACAGATGACATCCAGACTATTACATCCAGCAAAACTAACAACCACAAAACCCAGAGAAAGAAAAATGTTTCATGATTAAAGCCAAATTTAAGCAATTTCTGTCCATTAATCGACCTGTACAAAAGGCACTAGAAGGAAAATATCAGTGTTCATGAATACGACACAAGGAATAAGTAAACTGAAAGAGTTAATTCAAAGAGGAGAAAAAAAATCTCAACACAACAAAATAGCAGGCGTTATTAAACACTGCTCATTGATAACTGTCAGCATTGACTGTCTCTAATAAAAAGACACAATAAAAAGTTGGATTAGAAAACTGGATTCACCTTTTTATTATATCTTAAGATATCTACTGAATGATAAGAAACATCTTCCCATTTTAAGACCTAATCTTAAGGCTTTCCAAGGAAATGGAGTCAAGAAGCATGTAGGTGTAGCTTTTTAAATATCTGACAAAACAGACTAAAAAATAAATCTTATCAGCAGAGATAGGGAAGGGAACTACATACACAGTCAAGGAAAATGCACCAAGAGTATATTACAATTCTAAACATTTATGCACCAAACACAAGGGTACCCAAAACCACAAAAGAAATACATCCACTTTCACAAATTAATTCTCACACAATGATAATGGGGGACTACTCTCATCAATAGATAGGACATGAACACAAAACCAAAGAGGGAAATTCTGGAATTAGTAAACATGATAAACCAAATGGACCTAACAGACATCTACAGTCCACTTCACTTAAACACAAAAATAATATACTTTCTTCTCAGCATTCATGGAACTTTCTCCAAATATAACACTCCATATTATGACACCAAGAAAAACTCAAAATATATAAGAAAACTGAAATACCATCCTACATTTGACTACCATGGATTAAAATAGGCTATTAACAACAACAGAAACAGCAGAAAGTATACAATTTCATGGAAACTAATCAACTTACTACTGAATTAAAACTGGCTCAAGACAGAAATCCATAGGGAAATTAAATCCATTATTATAATTGAAAGAAAGTAACAGACAGCATGCCCAAACCTATGGAGTATAATGAAGACGACTCTAAGAGACAAGTTCATAGCACTAAGTTCCTACATTTAAAAATATAGGGAGATGTCATATTAGTAACTTAGTTACACAGCTGAGAGTTCCTATTAAACAACAAGAAATAATACTCAAAAAGAGTAGACAAGGGGAATTAATAAAACTAAAATCAATAAAATAGAACAACAAACCAATACAAAGAATCAATGAAATAAAGAATTGATTCAAGGAAATCAGTCAGATTGATAAACTGTTACACTTAACAAAATTAAGTACAAAACACAGAAAGAAAATAAAAATTATTAAACTTAGAGATGAAAAGGGAGACATTATAATAGACATTGAAGAAATTCAGAGAATCATAAGGACATATTTAAAAAGTTGTATTTTGCCAAACTGTAAAACCTAAAAGAAAAGGATGAATTTCTTGATATATATGAACTATCAAAGTTAAGATGAAATACACAAGTTAAATATACCCATAACTCCTAGAATCAGTAATTAAAAATCTGGCCCTTACCCAAATTTCCCAACTCCCCCAAAAGCCCAGGACAATATAGATTCAGTACAGAATAATTCCAGACATTCACAGAAAAACTAATACTAATAATCCTCAAATTATTCTGCAAAATAGAAACTGATGGGATATTTTCCAAATCTTTTTTGCAAAATCACTATTACTATATCACAAACACACAGCTAGGTGGTAACAGAGAACACCTTTAGTCCCAGCACTCAGGAGGCAGGGGCAGGTGGGTCTTTGTGTGTTCAAGGCAAGCCTATTCTACAAAGTTAAGTTTCAGGAAAGCCAGGGCTGTTACAAAGAGAAATTCTGTCTTGAAAAAACATAAACAAAACAAACAAACAAAAAACCCCATGAAGACCCATCAAATAGAAAATTACAAAACAAAATACATTGTGAACATTAAATGCAAAAATTCTCAATAAAATACTTGTAAACTAAGATCAAGAACATAAAAGATTACCCACCACCATCAAATTGGCTTCATCTCAGAGATATCAGGATAATTTAATATAAGTAAACCAATTAACATAATCCAACACATATACAGATTGGAAAAACACCCCTACATGCAGAAAGGACTTTTGACAAAATCTAACATACTTTCATAATAAAACTTCCAAAGAGACTAAGGATACAAGGGACATACCTCAACATAAAAAAGGCAATTTACAGGAAGCCCACAGCTAACATCAACCTAAATGGAGAGAAATTCAAAGCATTTCAACTAAAATAGGAAATGAAACAAGACTGTCCACTCTTTCCATACCTCTTCCACGTAGTACTTGAAGCCTTCACTAGAATAAGACAACTGAAGAAGATCAAGCGACACAAGTAGGGAAGGAAGAAGTCAAAGTAATTTTATACATAAATGATCCTAACAACTCCACCAGGGATTTTTAAACAGCTGATAAGCAGTAGCAAGAGTCAAAATTTACTCACAAAAATTAGCAGCCTACCTCTACACAAATGACCGACTGAGAAAGAAATCAGGGAAACAAAACCTTTCACAATAGCCTCAAAAAAATCTTGGGGTAACTCTAATCGAGCAAGTAAAAAAACTTTTATGATAAAAGCTTTAAGACACTGGAGAAAGAAATTGAAGAAGATATCAGAAAATGGAAAGGTGCCCCATTCTCATGAATGAATAGAATTATTATAGTGGAAATGACTATCCTACTAAAAGTTATCTACAGATTTAATGCAATCCTCATCTAAATTCCAACACATTATCAGGCAGGACTTCCAGTGGAGAGATTGGGATGCTGGCTCAACCATACAACCTTTGATCTGCAGTCTGTCCTCCTGTCTATGGAAGTGTGGGGGATTAGTTACTACCCCAATTGTCCTCAGAGAACCTTCATCTAGTAACTGATGGAAACAAAATTTCCATCAGTCAAGCATTGGGTGGAACCTAGGGAATCCTGCTGAAGAAAGGAAGGAGAGCATATATGAGCTGAGGGGTCAAGGACATCGTAAGAGAAACCACAGAAACAACTTACCCAGGTGTATAGGAGCTCACACAGTATGGGCCATCAGCTGTGGAGCATGCATGGGA